GAGAAAGAAAGAGAGAGAAGAGAGAGAGAGAGAGAGAGAGAGAGAGAGCGGGAGAGCGGGAGAGTAAGCGGGATACAGAGATAACTTTTAAAGGATCGAAAATACAGATTTCGAGTGAGAGAAAGAGTAAGAGGAAAGAGAAAGCGAGTGACAGGGTGCGTGAAGGCAAAGAGAGAGAGAGAGAGTAGGCAACAAAAAATTTTATTTCCAGAACTCAGCTCCCACTTTGCCATCAATCAAGACGGCCAAATCCGCGTACGCAGCAATCCGCCGCCTCCATTTGCCGTCTTCTTTGTTCATGTAAGTTCCTAGCTATTTTATTTTCTCGCCTCCAGTATTTTCCGGCTGGTTGTCACCCATCCCGGTTAATAAATGCAAAATATGGCCGGCATCCCGGATGGGGAGCCGCCCAATTAGCCACCCAAAAAGAACCGAAAGGGCGTCTGTCACAATGGGTGTGGGGTAGCAGGCTCATTTTGCCGGGTTGGGGGTGGCGGGATCGTCTCGAGATGCAAATTTGGGTGACGGCCTTCCGGCACCCGCTACAAACATGATGCCGCGACAGGGAGGCGCCAAAAATTGAGCGTTGGAAGGGAGGGACCATTTCAAAGACCTTAAACGGCGTTTTTAGTAAATTTCTGAAAACGGTTTTTGATGGATTCAACGAAAAGCAGTGTAAATCCAATATCTTCAAACAGTTTTGCATTTTCAAGGGACTGTGACAGTTAAATAAAGCATTACTTAAGCTTTTCTTAAGCATTACTTTAACAGAGGGTTTTTTGAGGACATTCGCATCTCAAGTTGCAGAATACGTACACAGTTCAAATTACCAGGGTATCATCCGTAACTTCCCCCCATTCCAGGCCTATGAAGAGAAAAACCCAGAGAAAAATGCGACCGCCATCATCAAGGTGCAACAAGGTTCAAACATCCATTTCGAAAACGACCTCTACAATTTGAAGGTAGGGAATCTCAAGGTATTCCAGGGTGAACGACTAATTTAGCTCTCGAGCAACACCCCCCAGGGCACCGTACTCGCCCGTATCAAGGCGTACTCGGAAACGGTATGTTTTTCGAGGAACGATGGTTTATTGAAATGCTAGAATAACCCGCTGAAGTACAAGATCCTCGGAATCGAGCCGCAGATGTTGAGAATTGAGCCGTCGTCCGGGAATATCATCATGGGCAAGCTGCCAATTCAGCTGAAAGTGTTCTATGAGTACAATATTACGGCGACGGACGGAGCGGAGGTATTTTAACGATTATTAGAGCGAGAGAGAGACAGAGAGAGATAGAGAGAGCGAGAGAAAGAGAACCGTATTAATTTTTCCATCTTTTAGGAATCCCATGCCCGAGTCCACGTGTTTGTCGACGCTATCGCCGACTGTTCGGATGGGCCGAGGTTTGAGAGAGTGGAGAGTACGGTAGGGAGGTCATTTTTTAGCAAAATTCACAAATTTCAGGCCGACTCCCCGGAAGGTCTCACGCTTGTCGGCCCATTAAAAACGAACGCCGACCAAGTGTCCTACGAGTTGTTGAATATGAAAAAGTGGGTGGAGAAAGAGCGAGAGAGAAAGAGAGAGAGAGAGAGAGAGAGAGAGAGAGAAAGCGACGGAGAGAAAAAGAGTGATCTATCACCCATTTTCAGGGATTTCCACATCTCATCCGAAGGTATCGTCACGATGCGACAAGGTGCCGCTCCCCAATGTGTCGTCTGCGAAATCGTCGTCCTAGCCAGAGACCAGCATGGCCGTGTCGGACACACGAAAGTCGTAAACACGTCGGCATACCAAAAATTACCAACTTTCAGGTGATCCTCCGGAATCCGGGACTCGTCATGTCCACCTCATCGGCCCTGACGTTCCTCGTCCTCTGTATCTTCTGTCTGATTCTGCTGATGATGGTGGTGTTTGTGTGCAAAAAAGTCTCCTATGTGTAAGTATATTTAATCAAAAATTGAAATAGCTTTAAATAGATTTTTGAAAACTTGGAAAATGGAAAAATGGTTTTGAAATTTTTGAAGTTTGTCTCGAATTTTAATTTTTCATAATTTTTCATGCCTGAAATTGAAAATAATCTTCGGTGGGTAAAAATTCAAATAACAAATCAATTAAAAAAAAACAAAACTTCGTTTTGTTTGCCTTTTAATTTTTCGGAATTTTTCGTCTGAAAATGAAATTAAAATAGGTTTTAAAATTCAAAGATAAAATCACACTCTAAGACATTAGAAAATCAAAAAAATAATGTTGCATTTGTTCATCTTTTTACCTTAAAAAAATACCCAAAGTTCCAAACCCAAAATGAATTTCAGCCTGCAAGAAAAGCCCTTTTCTAGCTCAGACTCCAGCGGGTAAGGAATGAGGGATATTTGCTATGGTTTGGTTCCCAGTTTTTCGTTTGTAGTTTGCAATAGCCTGTATAATTTATGTGATTTTCTGGGTCCTATACTAACCGATTAGTACCCGGTAATTCAGGTGGAGACACAACAAGCGCAACCGGATGTGCTGGCTGAACAGATCCACGGACAGCGGGGTGATCATCACGGGCACGATGCCGACGAATGGATCGAGGTACTAAACCGTGACCCAAATACCGTACACTCCCCGCTACGCACAGCCGTCCGAAGGCCGCCTCGGTGCCCCTCTATTGATTTGTGGGTTGTGTCGTGTAGTGTGGTGTGTACTGGACTGTCGTTTTGTTTCGTGTTACTGTCAAATTTTCTTGGCGAATTTAGGGGTTTAGTGGGATCCTGAAGCCGTAGTTTGTAGGTTGCCGGCCTCTGGAAATTCGCGATAACTCTCCTTTATCTAAACATCATGGATTCTTAAGTTGGAAAATAAGTCAGTAAGCTAAACGTTTGGTTACTTCTTCAGATTCTTATGAAATTGATCCTGCGGATTAGCGGAGGGAAGCTAATTTTGATTTTTCCGCCGACACCTGCCTGTAGATAATAGATACTGTATCATTATTGAGGTTTGAGGATTTGCTTGATTTCTATGAAACTATAAGGAAACCTTAAAAACTGATAAATTTTGAAATGTTTCTTTTTCTCTTTCGTTTTGAAAAAAAATCAAGGAATTTCGAAAGTTCGATAATTTTTACGTGGTTTTGAAATTGAAAAACTGCGTAAAATTCCATACAATTGGTTTATGTTTCGTAGCGTAGCCAAGAGAATGGGAAAATTTTAGATGCAATTAGCTTTTTTTCGTAGTTTTCAGTTATTTTTCTCTTTCACGTATCGTCTTGTCCCTTTTGATTTTGAGTGTCCCAAATTAACGATAGATTTTTAGATACGTCGTCAACCCGGAAAAAGGCATCGACAACCGAATCTCTGACATTAGCGTCACTGGCAATATTACCCAAACAAAATCACCGGGCCCTGTCAGGACCAGCGGTGCCCACCTGGTCCCTGTTACCGTATCCAACCGAGATGGCGCGCCTACTGTATATTTTTAGTAATGCCCTCATCGTTTAGAAACTTTTCCATTACATTACTACCTGACATTTTTCTTGTCTTCACGATTTTTGGACCAATTTTTCTGGCTGACCCGGACCAAATGTTTTTTTTATTGAAACAGATGTCACATTTATTTTGAGTCATGACCAAACCGAGTGCTCGAACCCGAATTTTAAATTTGATTTAGTAAGTTAATTTGTTTATATTTATCTATTTGTTGTTTTTGCGCCCTGTGCCTCTCAATTCGTCGTGCTCATACTCGTCTTGATGTCATTTAAGCGTTTTGGCTTTTCCCATGCAAATTCAGCTACGCCTGATCTCATTTTTCCGTGAATTTTACATGCTTTGAAATGAGGAATATTGTGCATGGAATAAAGTGGTAGTTATTTGAAAATAAGGAATTTTCCAAATTTATGTGGCGATTTTTCAGTGCTACACTCGGTCTAACGCACTAGGATTAAACGGATTTATAAATGTACGGAAAATACGGGCAAGAACGGCTTTAAATAGGTTATTTAAAAACGTAGAATCGCATCAATATAGCAACAATGGAAAATTCAAAACATTTTTGTATACAACCTGAGATTGTCACGGCTTGGGGGAAGGAACTGAATTGATAAATTGAAGTTTAGGGGTGGATTTGTAGTTTTTGAGTTCGATTAAACGGACTAACAAGGGAAGTGCACAACCGGCCCACGAGAAATCGACACGAGACATAATGGATCTGATAGAATCGGACACGGGGATTCGGAATCTGTAATCAGAATTTGCTAAATAGAACGGACAAAAAAGTTATGAAGCATCAAAGTTGGCCAAATCGCCAAAAACGGTACCTTCAAGGGCCCGTAAAAACCGGGGGAAAGGAATTGAGGAGAAAAGAAATAGTGCATCTTGTTCAGCAGAAAAAGCGCTTTCGAATGAGTTGTAATACGTAGCATTTGCAAACAATTCACTGAAAAAAGTTTTTTTTGGATTCACGGGCAAGGGTATGGCCTGTCAAGTTCATAGAAGAGATTTTCGTGAAATCATCTTAAACTTGGAGTAAGATAGCTCATTCGAAAGCGCTTTTTCTGCTGAACAAGATGCACTAATGGGTTGTGGAAAATTTCGATTCCTTGGGCCTTTACAGGCTCATAAAATTCCGATTTCGGGCGATTTTACCAACTTTGAAGCTTCATAACTTTTTTCTCCGTTTTATTTAGAAAATTCTGATTACAGTCTCGGAAGCCCCGTGTCCGATTCTATCAGATGCACTATGTCTCGTGTCGATTTCTCGTGGGCCGTCGTGCACTTCCCTTGTAAGAAGCGTGAGAATCGACCCCTTCTATCGGCGAGGTACCGACAACCATCTAATACACAGAAACGTGCTAGTGCTCCTTTGGCTAACAAGCCTTTAGGCAGTTGTCGAGACCCAGCCAACCAAAAGGGACGGTTTCCCACTTCCCAGCCCCTTTAATCGTATCTCGGATGGAAGGGGCAATTTGGGATGTGGCACTCAAAATTCGGGTCAACTGTACGGCGGGGGGATTTGCGTCCTGAGTCATTGTACCGGGCCACCAGGGAGACGAGATCCATGTCGGACAGCCGTGCCTAGAGGAGCATCGCGTAGCCCGGGAACTTTTAGACTTACGTCGTCGAGGCTCGGCTCCCGGAAGCTCACAAAAAAGAATCGTTGCTAGTTGTGTAGGGGAGGGGGTGAGGATTGCGCGGGCGGAACGGAGGCGGGCGTCGAGTTCTGCGATGAGGCGTTGCACCTCGGAGGGTTGCTGTTGGACTTGGGGCTAAAAACGCGTTTTTTAGTTTAAAAAATTACCGTACCGTACCTGGCTGGAGTGCAGCGTAGCGGGGACGATGAGGCCTCTGGGGGCTCCTCTAGGCAGCTGTAAAAATATTAGCCGTGCAGCTCGAACTTGTTCTCTCTCACTCCTTCTCTCTATCTCTCTCTCTCTCTCTCTCTCTCTTCTCTCTCTCGCTGTCTCTCTCTGACTCTCTTACCTTCCCAGTTTCCACAAATGTCCACCGCCGATTCGGGTCGAAATTCGGTGGAAAAACCACCCCACCGGGCCCGATGTTGCCACCCTCGATCGGCTCCGATAGAATCGAGTTTGAAGCCGACAACGAGGGTATCCCCAGGCTTTCGTGACTGCTACTAAAATGGAAAACCCCTTCAAAATCTTGTTGGACCTCACTTTGGCACCGGCGAATCCTCACGACTCGACGGCATCAACGAGGTCAATGCCGAGAATGCTTCCGGTTCGGCGCGGGTCGCTAGTAGGTTTCCTTTGGATCTGAGGAAGGGAAGCCTGTAAGCTTGAGCGGGCGAAAGTACCGTAAGGTCGGAGTCGGAGGTGAGCCTAGGCTGGAAGTTTCTGTGGCTGGCTCCTCAAAAACCGGAGCTAGGTACCAGGGCATATCGGTTTGGGTTGACTTGTCGGTCTAAAATTAATGAGCATGACCTCCAGAAGTCAGATATTACTTGTCGAAGTCGGTGGCTGATCTGTTCGATGATGACTTGACGTTCACGTCGTCGCATGAAGGGGAATACCTGGAAGACGAGGCTTTTTGAAGAAGAGGGAGAGAGAGAGAGCGAGAAAGAAAGAGAGGGAGAGAGAGTCAGACTACAACCTACATTCGCCAGGCTCTCTCCAGCTCGATTGGCCGCATCTCGAGCCGCCGTCGCCGCTGCATTGGAAGCTTTTGCCAACGCCAAGTTAGCCCTATTCTCCTTTTTCTCCTTCTGAAGACGCTCATTGCGACGTCTCCATAATCTCCACATATCGAGCATACCTAAAATGCAAAATTTTATGTAACAATGAATTTCTAGAGACGTGTAGGGCCCAAAAACTGTAAAACCTTACTCAATCGCTCTCCCCTCATCGGCCCGGCATCCGGATCAACGCTGTATTCCTCTACCATCATGAGTAGCATCTCCTCAAACAGCTTCTCCAGCTTCAACTGGATCACATTGATGCACATCGACACTAATGACAGTCCAATCAGGATGAAAAAGAAGATGGTGAACATGTCCTCGGAATTTGTCGGAGTGACGTCTCCTAAATCTCCTCACTGACGCCAAATTTTCCGATATACCGTAGCCTATCGTCGTCAGTGAGCAGAAAAAGAAGTAAAAACTCTTGAAGTAATCCCAGTCCTCTTCAAAATAGAGGAAAATGGCCGCGCAGAAGAACATGTAACCAAAGGCGACTCCTAAAGGCCAGAGTAGTTGACGTAAGAAATTATGGTACACTCACCAATGGCCAGAATTAACGGCATTTCGGTGATTCGATCCTGGTCGCTGTTTTTCTGGCGGTAGGAATAGGCGGTGCAGAAGATGAAGTCAAACGCCCTGAAAAGAACGGCGTCACGTTTTTCCAAAAACAAAGGTTTCGGAGCCGGAAATGCACTTTTCGACAAATTTCAAAGAAGGGTCTGCGGTATTAATGACTATAAATTATGACAACAAAGCCACTTACCGTAAGCAATAGTCCCAAAACTTGTCCAAGACGTTCAGACAGCTTCTACCGAGTTTATGCAATATCATCAGCATCAGAGGAATTCCGATGACGGCATAGACCATAGCAGCTAGCCTTCCGAGTCGCGTTTTTGCGGTGATGTTCCCATATCCAATCGTGGTATAGGTCGTGACTAAACACAACCCGTTTTGTTTTAAAAATTAAATTTGGTGTTCTGGGCCACGAAATTAAGCTTCTGCTAAATTACCCGCAAAGAACATTGCGTTCCAGTATCGCCAGACCGGGGATAACACATTATGCAAGCCGGTGAGGACTTCGAATCTGAAAAATCTCATTTTTCTGTCGTAATTCTCCTTTTGATACTTTGAAGCTTAGGCCCTTAAAATCACCGTAACTTTTAGTCTTAAAAATAGAAAATTGGTCATTAATTTATTATACATTCTCATGCCTAATCCTGATCGAAACGCATGATCTGGCCATCTGCCGCTACGTGCACGCGGAAATTTTATGATACGCCATTCGGACGTGGGAATCTTCGATCAGGCGAAACAGTCACACACTAACCGTTGTGTCGCGTTGTTCACCAGCCCACGCAGCTTGACGTCGACGGCTTCTCGGGTGGAGTTGAGGAACGAATCTTCGCCGAGTTCCCAGCAGCGTTTGGCTAGCTAAAAATTAGGATTAGTACCTCTTTCTAGCACTCTCGCTCTTGCTCTTCTCTCACTCTGTCTCTCTCTCTCAGCGCAATTAACTCTCTCTCTCACGTAGCATGCGCCTGAACGACGCTTTCTTGCCCCAAAGCGTAGTTTAACAAAATATTCACATCCACTTTGCACCCGCCGACCCACGAGATGAGTAAACGCGGCCAAAAGGCCATTTGTTGCCCCCGCGGTGGTGGCCGGGAGCGATGATGGATCGAGTGGAACGGGAAAAGGAGCAGCATCAGCCACAGCCAAAACGGCCCGTTGTGGGGTGTGGATGAATGGTCGGATGGATGGTTCGTATCCGATTCCCGTCACCCCAGCGTTTTTCCACGTTTTTCCCCGCCGACCATCCCGACTTGCAAGCCGATCGGCCGATCACCGCGATTTTGGGCCCTGATTTTTGGTCTCGGCTTTTGCAGGGGGTCCAGTGTTTTGGAGCTTCCCAGCTTGCCCTCGGGGTCAGGTGGCAAAAATAGGTGCTAGCCACCCGACTCCCAGCTTGATGTGGATTGATGGGCGGAAAGTGTAGGTGTATGTGTTCTTTTCCGGTCTTTGGCTGGTCTGGGGCTTGATTTTTGATGGTGGGCAGGTTATTTTAGAGGCAGATTAGTCATTTTGGCTCCGAAAGCTTGCGAAACGCTTTTTTTCCTCAGTATTTGGCACTGCGGCTCTATATCGCTCTGTCTTTGACACCATACTACTGGTTTTTCATAACTTTTTATCGCTATCATTCTCTCTCCCTCCCGCTCTTTCTGTATTAAGCTGTCTCTTTCTCTATACCTCTCTCGCTTTTTGGCCTTCCGGTGAAGTTCGCCCATGCTTTCAGCAACTCTTTTAATGTTCCACTGCCTCTAGAATCTGCCAAAAATTCAGAAAATCCATACTCCTTCCCGTCTCAACCCCTTTAACCTTTCGTTCCCCCAATCTCCAAAAACCCCCGATCCCCCATTATTTCGATCACCGCAACCCCGTGGCCTCGGCTAGACCAACGACGTCAATGAGACAAAGATAGTCTTGTCCCCTCCCGGAAAACAGTATCTTTCTGATCCTAAAAGTGACGTGAGTCCCCTGCCCAATCCAAATGGAGCCATCAAATGACGGGAAAGCCATGTGCGCGCCCTGCCCGGAACAGCCCTTCCCTAAACGGATCCAGTCGATTTTCGCGCCTGCGTTCTTTTCGATTTCCCAAGCCCTGGCTAGCTTCAGTGTACCACAACAGTCTGCTGATGGGGCGGGGGCAAAATTTGGCCAAAATAGTAATTGTTTTGTCTGAAGGATGTCTAGTTGATAGGATGGGAGTAGGCGTCACGACAAATACAGCCTACTGATGAAAGTCCAAAATTTGGTGTAAAGTACGGTGCGGTTGTGGAAGAGTGTTTGTACTTCAACTTCTAACCTATAGTAAAGACCTATGTTACGTTAAGCTATGCTGAATTCGTCACGCATCGTAGTATCGTGGTGGTGGAAAGTACTGTAAAAGGATACTTTGCTGGGTGGAACCTAAGCTACTCGGTGTCCTAAGCGTACTGTCGTGTTGCAAAACGTACTTGGCTGGGACGGAACGTACTGTACTATGCTCGTGCTGTACATGGTAATATACATGCTGCACGGTAGTCAAACGTACAGAACCCGTATCGACATTTTTACTACTCTAAAGGCTTATGAGATAGCACACTCGTACGGTACACTGTACTGAAGCGTATTCCATACTAGTGTACTTTCTCGGTCTACGCGTGGAAAAAGCCTACGGTACTCCCCCTAGTCCATCGACCAATGACATGAATTTCGGTCTTACTAGACGATTTCTCGCCCCCCATGGGACGAGTCGTGGTTAGAGATCCGGCTAGCCTCATCATCAACCTCCCCCCGATCGGCATCATCGATCTGATGACCAGCCGCTTTGCCCGTGCCCCGCTTCACCCCGCTGGCTTCCGCGATGACTCAGGTTTCGCTGCGGGCTTCCGCGAATTTTGAATCGTGCGGGGTTTGTATCGTTATATAGTGGGGGATCCGGATACTTTTTCCCTATTCTATCCCGAGTTCCTCGCCTTTTTTAATCTTTACCGGAGCCTGAATAGGCTTTAAAAACCTGATGCTCAAAACTTCAAGATTTTCACGTAGCTTTTTAGATGCCATTTTAGGTGGAAAACCTTGACATAAAACGGGGGCTAGTTCTGAAATTCACATAGATCTTCTCTGCTCCCTCCTGTCTCGCCTCACACTTTGACCATCTTTTTTGCATTAGCATTTCCGGTTGGTTCGTTGCCAACTATAGACTTACTGCCCCCCTTTCAAGGCACTGGCAAGGCACGGCCATTAAATTCTTGGCTAGAGATTAGCGTTGCATTTACCGGTCTTTCGTAGCACGCAACGAGCGCTTTTCTTCACAGTAGATTACGCAATGAAAAATGCACGTGTGTTGCGTCTCGAACACGCGGTAAAATATGTAGCTAACATATAGCCAGAAAATCCATAGTAAAAGCTGCCCAACCCCTTTAAAGGGATGCCCAACCTTTTCGGTGCTCAAAAAGCAAAAACCATGCCGCGGGCGGGGGTCGAACCCGGGACCCCCGTTTTGTGGGCCAGGATGCTATCCATTAGGCCATAGTGGCGAGCCATTGGGTGGGATGGGGACGTCACAAGAGGGAAAGGTCCCGAATTTTGGTGCGGCACTGGCGCCTCATTGCCACACAAAATTCGCGCGTCAGTTGTACTGCCCGGAATACATAACTATATATTTGCCAACAAAACCTTGGGTATCCCTTTAAATCTCACTTCCATCGCCCTAAACTACCCCACCTGTTCCGTATAATTCCGCAACGCATGTATCCGGCCATAATTGTTCGAAAAGTACTCCTTCCACATCGTCTCCGGGTTCCTCGGCCGAAGCGCCAACGCTTTGTGCGCCTCGTGCTCCGTCAGATAGTACATGCTCAGCGTGTACCAGTAGACGTTCTAAACAATGAAAGTTCATTGAGCAAACCGGGGTTGACGTGGCGTTGATTGCGCAACGCCTACTTTTATATGGGTGTAAAGTGGAGTATCAAGGGATTATTTCGAGGTAACAGAGCCCATTTTGAAAGTTCGACTTTGGCTCTCGCGCGTCAGATTCAGTTTCAAAAGTTCTAATGTAATGGGAGAATTTTATTATAAACTCAGAAATCTGTTTTTTTAAAAGAACTTAAGGTATTAGAATTACCGTTCGTAGCCGATTCATCGCCCAATGTCGATAACTTCGCTTGTGGATGTTGTATTTTCGAGTGTTATATCTAAATTGTGTAACGTTCAAGGTGTCCAAAACGGATTAGTTTTTTTTTCTTGGTCTTTCACTCCCTTTCTCTCTCTTTCTTTCTCTCTCGATTTCTCTCTCTCTCTCACTGTCTCTCTCTCTCTCTGATTATAACTTACCCATAAGAGGCATTCAACAGCGAGAGATGTTCCCTGATATGTGTAACAATCGAAAACAGCTCGTCCTTCTCACGTTCGATGAAAGTGCTCTGCAAAATCATAGTTTTGTGCGGTTTTATGCCTTTTTCTTGAAATCACAAGATGGCCACCGTATTTTGGAGCCGAGCTATTCGCGAGAGAAAGTTCTTCTCCGCGCTATGTAGTGCTGTATTTACCCTACTCTTCAGCCCGGCATATGTGCCTTTTTAAATAGGTTACCGGTATAACTTCCGACTGGGATTAACTCTTTATCACTCATAGAACTCACCTTTTCCTGTATCAATATCCCCTCGTTTGGACCCTCGATCTTGTAAAATATCCAGCCACCAAGTAGCGAATAGAGGGTCAAGATGAAGATGGGGGCGAGGTAGTGTATTCGCGATTTGTCGTAGAGCCACTAGAAATGGTAGAAAAAGCTTAATAAGCGCAGATACCTTGATATGATACGTGAAAACAGCAATTTTTGACGTTCTTGGCGTTCTGCTGCCACGATCGGCTTCCGTTGGTCCGGGGACCCCGCGCAAAAAGGCCGACTGCCAGGTGGATTCGGTGAGTAGGACATGATGGAGCTAAGACATTAGAAAATGTGGCTAGGTGATTTAGACATAAAATTTTGCCCTGTAAGCGCTGAGGTGACTGAGAAAACCAAAAAAGTAGATCAAATTAAAGGCGATTTTCTTTCTGTCTGATACCTTTAAACCTCTTTTTTAGGCTTTTCACACATCGTTGACCGCTTTAAAATTGTAGTTTTCTGTCCGAAAAGGTATGGAAAAAGTCCCAGAGAGTCATATAAAATTTTTTGTGATAATTGAGGGTCGATTAAACCGGTTTTCCGGTCGCCCCCGCATGAAAATTTGGCTACATATTTTGGTCACAAGTCTCCTACTCGTCTTCTATGACTTTTTTCGTATCTTTGCACTGGATTTCGGGTACTAAAGCTCTACCTGAAAAGAATTCTCGCTAATCGACGATCGCCGGCTATTCCGATCCCGGTCCCGTAGGTAGGCAATCGACGCCGCGTTCATTATAGCGTAATGTCCTCAGTGTTCAGGTAATATTGGGGAATATTAGTTCAAAGTTGGCCATAATCTAAGTCGGGGGCTCAATTCGGAATGTACGAAATCAATGGGGTAGTGCTCTGGATGTCTTCAGTGGGTCTCGGATGGGGGCCCGGGTTTTCAGAAATGTTTAACCAAATTATCGGGATGCGTTGGCAAGGCTTGGGGGAGGGTAGAGGGCAATGGGAGGGTGTGAAAGTAGTATAAATCGGAAAATAAACAATTGTGCTTAATTGAGGGATAATGTACTTCTAGGGAGATAGAGAGGTAAAGAGCGGGCGAAAGAGAGAGAGAGAACGATAGAGAGAGAGACAGAGAGCGAGAGAGATAGAGAATGCTAGAGTAAGAGAGGGTGAAAGAGACAGAAAATAGCGATGCAGCGAGTGAGAGAGGGAGAGAGAGAGAGAGAGAGAGAGAGAGAGAGAGAGAGAGAGAGCGGGAGCGAGATCGGGCTCGAGGATCAAATCTAGAGGGAGCCAAGGAGCGAGATAGAGGGGGAGAGAAAGCGCGCGAGAGAATGACGATGAGGGAAAGGGAGAGAGTGAGAGCACAAGAGAGAGAAAAAGAGAGAGCGACAGAGAGAGGGGGAGAGAGGGAGAGAGAGAGACAGAGAGAGCGCGAGAGAGAGAGGGAGAGAGCAAGCGAGTGAGAGATCAAACTCCTTATTTTCAATGTATTCTTCATTATCCCTCAATCTTTTTTCCCTCTTCCTCATTTTCTTCCCATTTTCCAGAGAATGGAAGTGCAGCTCCAAAAGCCTCTTCTCCCTCCCCAATGCATAAATTTATCTCCCCGCCTTTTATTTATCTGCTTTCTTGCCACCCCTCACAAATATTTATCCTGCCCATTCCATTTTTTCCAAGAAAACTTTGTCACACCCGCTAAGATAACATTTGGTTTGCCCCGTGGAGGTTGAACTTTAAAAGCGCATCCTCAGGTCACCTTCGCGGCTTTTCGGTGTTTTTCGATCTGGTGAGATATTGGAATTGGGTTGTTTGCTTGCTGCCAGCGGCTAATGGCAACATGCGCTTTTCAATGTTGTGACCCCAGGCAAGAGGTAAATAGCCTGGGGCCAAGGGGCCAAGGGGTGGTGGGCCCAAAACGATTTCGCTGGACCTTCATTTCATTGGACCTTGCTTGAGGATGCGTCCGAACATGATTTTGAAGTTACGCTTCGTAGTAAAGCTCATAATTATCTTTGGCCAGATGTTTAAGCTACATCGCATTTAATACCTAGTTTTAATATTAACCTGATTTTGTGTATACGAATGTAATGAACCGTTTTTAGCATTTATAAACGCGGATTTTCGGCGTTCTCAAAGTTTACCAACGTTTTTGAATTTTATAAGATTTTTATAGATCTATTTTTTCTGTCTCTATCTAATTTTATTTTATACGAACTTTGTTTCTCCTTAAATCTAATTTTAACGTGTCTCCATCAGAATCTCTCCCCGTACACGATAGACTTTTCCCGGAAATCTCTTCTATCCGGCTAAACGCGTAATTTTCAGCAGTTCCTTATGCACCCCCCTCTCCCCGGCAGCCATTTCCGGCTTGATTATTCTAAAAATAGCCATTTAGGCAAGCGAGAGATTCTCGATACGTCTACTCGGAAGGGAATTTCGGCGCCGAGCAGTACAGCCAGAACGAAAAAGAACAGAATTGCCGGGCACACGTGATGTTCTGTAAATACTGCAAGCGCTTCCAGAAAAAGTGCCGGAAAACGTGAGTGATTCGCTCTTTTCGGCGGGGTGCTGGCTTTGAAGTTTTGTATCTCTGATTTTCCCATCGTTATACGGCTTTCTCTCTCTCTCTCTCTCTCTCTCTCTCTCTCTCTCTCTCTCTCTCTCTCTCCCTCCCCTCTTTCTCTATCTCTCTATCTCTTTCTTTTTTCGCTTACTCGCGCGGTCCCGTGAGGAACTGTCAATTGTGTGTGATGGTATTGACCTGACCACCGGCCGATGGCCTCCCCCTCGTGAAATCACAGCTGATTTTTTTAGTCATACCTATTAATTTACAAACTTATCGGGTTCCTGGACAACTCTCTCCATCTTCCCAAGTAATCCAATTTGTTAGATTCCTAGATCATTACTACGTGTGAAACTCGGAACGAACCTTGGGATTTGACACAAATTGCAGGGGGTCGCCCCGGAAAAAAGTGCACCTAATTAATGGGTGCTATTTTCCGCCCGTCTGGTGGTGTCTGGGTGATCGGCCTTTTTGAAAGGATTGAGATTTCGCAATTTTCATTAAGAAAAAGTTAGAAATATCTTGGTAGACAGCGGCCCTTAGATTTTAAAAAATTTAGGTGATTTTTTGCGATAAGAATCGTAGTTTTTAAAAGCTTAAGGGGTCAGGAAAGGCCAGAAAAAATTTGCCTAAGACGAGCTTGAGTTCTAAAATTAGCATAAACATTCTCTGCGCCCTTCTGACTCGCCCCCACTCTCTGTCCGTTTTTGCATTAGCATTTCCGGTTGGCTCGTTGCCGATTATAGATCACCCCTGATTTACTGGGCCTTCCTCATCCCTTTAAGCTTAATTTTAACTTTAAGCTAAGTTTTATTGGCTTAAAACCTCGATATACTTTCACAACAAGCGCCCATCGAAACAACTGGCAACATGCCAAATCCCAGAACACCCGCCTCCCCCCCACTTTCATCATTTCCCTGCAAGAAACTGCAGCATTGCTCGACCAAAAGCCTGGTAGGGACAGCTGTTCGGAACGCTCACGTATTTTGGCCAGCAACTCATTGTCGGTGTGAGTAGGCGAAGTGAGTAAGGTAAGCACCCACCTTCCCATTATCGCAAAAAAATATTTCCGCCCACCGTAACTACCTCAATTTCTCCCTTCCGCTTTTAGATTTACCTCCGGTTTACTGAACCTCTGAGCCTCCCCCTGATAAGCCGCCGGGGCTCGAAAAAAGTTGTTGAAATATGGGCGGTATGCTTTTGGAGTAGGAGAGAAACCCCCCCCTCCGGGTTTCGATACTTCCGGCGGGATTTTGATTTTATTTTTGGCTCATAGGATCTTAAAGCGCGGCCAGCATTATCGTGGAAACATTGCGTGTTGCACACGTAGCAATCCATTAGATCTGTGGCACACAAAATCCTCGGTCATCTGACGCATTACTGTATCAGCCAAGCCCTCGTATCCACAAAAAAAACCAAAGAAAACACTTCCTTTGTAACCTTATGCTCCAAATTTCGCTTCAAAACGCCGGATCAAATCGTCAAAACCCCCCGGCTACACGCTCTACCCAACAACCTCAATTTTAGCCGTTTTCAAAGTACCTGCGCCCGGCCACCGAGTCGAAAAACCGAAAGCGTGACCCCGGCGGCCCGGGCCGCGTGTGCCGCGTGTGCCCGGTGCGCCAGCGCGATAATGTGATTCAAAAATGGCAAACACTCCAACCAGCCCAGACCTGCCCCTCGCATGTGACTCCGAGAGGGTGCTCCCCGCCAACTGTGAGGCCCGAACACACCTCACTCACTCGATGGTTATTATGATCCGCCAGATTCCCTTTGTCTGCTTGGCCTATAGGCTACGGTCATCTACCACTCAAAATCGCCATCCAAAAAATCCCATTAATACGAGTGGCCGGGCCCGAGTAATGGCCACTTCACACCCACCCCGCCGTTTCCAGACTAGAATCTGGCGCCTAGTTTGAATCTCCGGACCTAGCAACACCCCGCCAAGACACCCACCAGTATACAAATTACACCTCCGCGAGTCATCTGTGCAAACTTTCGCACCCGAATACAGTCCCCTCCACCTCTAGACCAATTCATCACCCCCCTCCTCCCACCACCCGCAAGCCCAAATATAGCCCCTCCCGCGCCCACCGCCATGTCTCCGTGTCATATTTGGTAGCGCCCACAAAGCCAACCACCAAACGCGCCCCCGCCGTGGCTTTACGGGGGGCACGGAACGCCGGCCGTAGAGAACGGGTGCGTAGCGTGCAGCGCCGCGCCCTCGCCCGAAAGCCAAGGCCAGAGGAAAAGCAATTCCCAGACTTGTGCTAGCCGCCCGTGTATTTAGTACGTCACCGGCATAGTCATCATTATTGGGGTTGGGAAAGCTAGAATCTACTGCAAATATGAGGCTACAAGAAAAGCTAGTTTAGCTCGTAAAAACCATAAATAACCAGATCCATCCCGAGCGTCAAGTCTGATCTTCCCAAAACTTGCATACATACCTTGCAAGTCCTAGATCTGCTCAAAAACGACGCTGTTAAGCCGAAAACTTCTCCTGGCGCTCTGGATCTGGCTCTATGTATGTCTTCTCCCTCGTCTCTAAACGCCCACCATCCAACCGTCTAAACATCTTCGCGCTCCCCTGATATTTTCCCCAGTTTTCTCTGACAAAGCAAAACCCTCCGCCGGCGGGACCGGCCGCAATGAATTCTCCACCCCCGAAAAAAGCGCACTGGACCGGGCTCTCCAGCCCGGGCACCGCCATTTCCTGTTCTATCGTTTCTCGCGTTCTCCCCCTCCTTCACGCTCCCTTCACACAAAGAAAATTTCTGCTTGCCCTCGCCGGCTGAGGGATCTCTAGGGGTAGTTGCCTTCACTGATCCCTCCGAATCGTCCGCGCTCCTTGTCACGCCAAAAATTCTACCAGGAATGCTTGTTCTCTAGCAATTTTCTGGTCATCGGGTGTCTCGTCAAAATCCCAAGGCCAACTTCTCTATCTCGCGTCTTTCACTGCAGCCAAAAAAGCTCTCTTCCGCATCTCTCTAGGAGATCCGCATGCTCCAAAGTCTGCGGCTTCTCTCGCAGTTCCATCGCCAAACTAACACCTCCATCCTATCCCAAGGGCAAATTCTCTATCTCGACATCGCATCCTGACACAAAATTCTCCTATCCCTAGCCTTCGTCTCGAAAGAGGATTTTTCTGCCCATCCTCATCCAGCCGGCGCTCCCTCGAGCTGCCCGCAACATCTAGACCCTCCACCTCTTTTCACTAAAACCAAGATCCCTCTCCCCTCTCCCTAGCACCCGAAATTCTCTACCCTCTCCCCGTTCCCACCTCTCACAGCCCGATCTCTCACCCCCGGTCCCGCCGAACCTCATCGCCCCTTAGAATCACTAACCCGTCACTAGCCCCAAAACCTCCGCCAGACTACACTATTCCCCAAAAACGCACCAACCCCTCCGCCCTACGCTCCCTAAACAGGGCCGGCTGCCCGCTTTTCGTCTAGCCGGGGGCCGGCTCTATTTTTCGAATGCTCGCTCCCATCTGGCCCGTCAAGCCGCCCGCGGGCACCGCCGCGTCCCTCGCCCCATTCGCCCGGGACCCGGGACGGCTATGACGAAAGTCCTGCAGCAGCCTGGAGCCCTCAATTTTCAGGGGCATCGCCAGAATTGTTGCGAACCCGGCGCCCGCCTTTTCTCATTTTTGGCGCGCGTGGGAGAAATGAGCTCGGAAAATCGGCCCCTCGGGCTGAGCAAAAATAACTGCCCTTTGGCTGAGTTACGTGGGTTTCCCCGAGGTTCCGTTGTTAGAGGCTACCTGATCTAAAGTAAGAGATCCTGCAAAATATACTTATTGCAAGATCTACAAAGTTTATAAAGTAGAATAATTTTATTTTTACTTCCGGTTTCTTGATTTTATTTTCCCTTTTCATTGATACCCCTACGTTCTGGTACTCTGTACAATACAATTCCTGGCGTAATCAGATATCTTGGGTCGAAGTTAGATTTTTCCAGCACTCTTTCTAAAAAATAACCATTTTTTGTGACGTTTTCTTTTACTAAAACATTATTACTAACGCTGTAATGCTTGTTGTATATTTCTAAAAAACAAAAAGCTTTCCCAACCCCACTTTTTCGTACGATTTTGCCAATTCCCGGAATTTTTTTTGGCAACCGCAGATAGCCCCCGCCATTACACGACACCCGCAATACTAAATTCGTGCAAAAGCTGCAGCGCGCCGATTCCAGCAATTCTGCTTATCAGCCTTGGCGGAGCAGGGTGCGCCCCGTTTCGACGAGCCTTCCAACCCTCCTTTTTACTCACCTACTTCCCCTATTTCTCCTCCCATCCCCGCTCTCTCGCCACCGAAGCCCCAGGCCGTCAGCGCGAAGGGCTTGAAAAGGCCAAATGGACATTCTATTCTCTTTCGCCGCCCTGCTGTTCTCCGATTCTCTTTCTCTCGAAGGCCACGGGTCCACCATTTTTTTTGGGCATCGCCTTGGAAAAAATGGAACTCCTTGTGGATGAGGGCCCGTCGGCGGGGAAAATGTGACTTCCGCTTTGTGGCAACTTTGGATTGTCGCGATTCCATTGTTCGCATTTTTCCCACGACATGGTGAAAGCAAATGTTCCATTTTTTAGGCTCCAACTTTTAAAGTTTTCGGTTTGCCTATACATTACCTCAATTTTCAATAAAATGCTTCCTGGAATTTCCTTATTGCTCGTCTTCTAGGACCCATCGATTGTCGCATAGTGGAAACAATTTTTTAGGGTTTCCCTCTATAGGGCAGCAGAAAAACTTTTTAAAAGCCCACTGAACGTGTAGCCCTATCCGCTATCAAATAACTAACTTTTTATTAGCCACCCACGTCGCTCATATTTTGTAGTGTCCCAAAAGTGGCGGTGCCCTATGACCCGGGCCCGGCATGCCCTTTCGGCCAACCCCCCAAAATTGTTGACAAAATGCCAGGGCCAGTGCAGCCGGATTTCGCAATCTATTGTCAGATGTCCCCGTAAAATGGACCCCCCACATCCCCTGGACCTGACTCACAAAATACGTCGTTTTTGTTTTGGGTTTTGGCGACGAAACGTTGCTAGGGGCGGGGCAGGGCCGCGGCGGCTGTGGCTCCACCTTTTTTCTTACGCTCCAAACTGATTGCACGGAAAGATATAAGCCGCTACGTAACCCTTGAGAGTCTTGGTCACTGATTATTCGCGCTCGTCATCTCAACGCTTTCGCTATGCTAGACATTAAATCCCGTCGCCATCATCTTTTCAAGTACGTATTCCGATTTTTTGCATCGGGCTTAACCTAACACATTTTCGAGTAGGAATCATAACTCCTACTCCGAGGGAAACATTTTCACCATGTGAACATTGCAAGAAAAACCTTCAAAAAGCTTTTGAATTCTTCAAAAGTACTTCCGATGCCCCTTTATTCTTTCAGACGGGATTAAATTTGCCATTTTCCAGGATGCCATTGCCTCTCTTCGGCAAATCGCACAAGTCACCAGCCGATGTGGTGAAGAACTTAAAAGAAGCTCTTCTACTAATCGAGCGCGGTGACCGGCGTAGCGATAAAGCCATCGAAGAGGTATGATTTTTGCCTTTTTCTTACGATCTTTTTTTGTTTAGGTGTATAAATGGCTCCAAATGGTCAAGGGTATAATCTACGGCCAAGAGGGGCAGGAACCGAATTCAGAACAGGTATCTCTGCATTACGTTATCTAGTTTTTTGTTCATTTCTCCAGGTCGCCCAGCTGGCCCAGGAAACCTACAATGCCAACGTTCTACCGATGCTTATCAAAAATTTGTCAAAACTCGAGTTCGAAAGTAAAAAGGTAAGAAAAACATGTTTTTTGTATTTTATTTGTTTTTTCTCAGGACGTCGGCCAAATTTTCAACAACCTGCTCCGCCGGCAAATCGGCACCCGGTCACCCACAGTGGAATATTTGTGTGCCCGGCCAGAGATGTTGATCACCCTGGTGAATGGGTGAGTTTTTTTCTGTTTTTCCTTTGAGCACTTTGCAACTTCTTGTCAATGTATCAAAAAATATTTTTTTAGCTACGAAGTCCCGGACATTGCCTCGACGTGTGGATCCATGCTTCGAGAATGTATTCGACATGATCATTTGGCAAAGGTGCGAAAATTTCCACAAACTCTTATCTTTTTATCTTCAGGTCCTGCTCCACCACGAGACTTTCTACAAATTTTTCACGTACGTCGAGGTTTCGTCGTTTGATATTGCCTCAGATGCCTTCTCCACATTCAAGGTAATTTATCATGATCCTTCCTAGGAAAAGCCCTGTTTTTCCTTCGGTCGACTAATTCCAGCTTTCTAGGATCTCATCACAAAGCACAAGAACCTCTGCGCCGAGTTCCTCGACACCAATTACGACAAATTCTTCGGTGAATACCAGAAGCTGTTGAATTCGGAGAACTATGTGACCCGGAGACAGTCGTTGAAGGTTTGTCTTTATTTAGCCGTTTTTTTATGTTCTTTTAGCTCCTCGGCGAGCTTCTCCTCGACCGGCATAACTTCAACGTTATGACGCGGTACATCTCCAACCCCGACAATTTGAAGCTGATGATGAATTTGCTGCGGGAAAAGTCGAAGAGCATCCAGTTTGAGGCTTTCCACGTTTTCAAGGTAATTTTTGGCATTGATTGGGTTATTTATTTTGTCTATAAATAGTGTTGAGGTAGTATTCAAGTAAAGACATCTAAAATTAACTTTTCGCAAACTTCAAATTTCCGGTCAAAAACGTTCTCATGTTTTCCTTCCCAGAATACCCAAGACCTCAAAAAACAGCTCACGCATGAATACCCTCAATTCCAGGTGTTCGTCGCCAACCCCAACAAGCCGCGCCCAATCGCCGACATCCTGCTCCGGAATCGGGACAAGCTCGTCGACTTCCTCTCCAACTTCCACAACGACCGGACCGAGGACGAGCAGTTCAACGACGAGAAGGCCTACCTCATCAAGCAGATCCAGGAGATGAAGGCCTAGTCTGTCCCCCATTTTTAGACCTTTTCAAAATTTCGCCTACCACATTACTTTCGTCTTATTCGTACCCCTTGTCCTGTTTTTGCCCGTGTCAATCAAAAAACCCTGGGTCTAAACCACTTGTCAAAAAGCTACCCATTCTACGACGTTCGCCCTCCCTCTATTCCACCGAAAATCTTGTACATCCAAAAGCAACAAACCGCAAGTCTTTAACGCAAACTACGTGTCGGTCTGGTAATTTCAGTGCTCTTGCTACCCACATTGCGCCTTGTGACTATCTCTTCTCTCGCCCAGCTTACAAATTTGCAATTTTTGGTGTGAAAGTACCCTAATAGGCCGTGTTTATATCGAAATTTGCCGCGGATAGGGGATTCGAAGACGAACGTGTTCATTCGATTCGCATCCCCTATCGCGGCCGGTCCAATCCTACCCTTAGTGCCTGTGCTCAACATAAAAGTCGCGGTGTCGAGATCCCGTCTATTTTGCTGTTGCAAAAAGGTCTGATGATCCCGGCCCCGGCGACGGCTGAGAATCGTCTTCTAATGCCCTACGGTTAGCCTGGATAACAATCGATTGTGATGCTCATTGGTTCAGCTAGAACGTTAGCTTTCTCCGCCCAAAGCGAGTCAATTCCCTCCACACCCCACCTACCCTACCCCCATACAGTCTCCTTAATATTTTTTATTCTGTTGCATGTACCCTGGGATTGATCGTTTTACGACAAATATTATATGTGAAATAAATATGTGCCTAACTTATAAAATTTTGTGAGCGTTTGGAAAGTGCAGAGCAGCTTTTAGAGGTATTCAATTTAGGTTCCGGCGGGTAGAAGGAATTCCGAGATCAAGAAGCATCGTAAAATCGAGGAAATTTCCGGCTGTTTGGCGAGCTGGTTACACACTTAATTCGAAAATCAAATACCTGGAAGCCTGCTCAGTTTTCAGTCTTCGATTCCTGGACCCGGCCCGCTCTCTAAAGGTTAAAACAGCCAGAGTCGTACTCTGCCGTCAACACCACCCCGATCAGCTCGCCCATTATGAAAGGGCACACACCACACACACGCGCCGTTATTTATTGCCCCTTTCCGTGTTTGCGCGTCTACCCAACCGTGCGTCCATCCGCTTCGCAGATCAATATCGTTTAACCCATCGCGGGGCTGGCCCTCGAAAAACTCGTGTGCGCCATGTTTGTCCCGATCTCTCAAATGTTCGCAGCAGGGACCCCGTGTATGGTCGGGGGTTTCCGGAAAACCCTCCGCCAGTCTCGCACTTCTCCTCCTCCTTCTCCTCCTGACTCCCGCGTGCCAAAAACACATTAAAAATTCTGGGATAGGAGGTGTGCGTATGTGCATTTGATTTTGGCTGGGAGACCCCTGTAAAAATCGGGAAATTTTTCGCCTTCCAGATTTGCCAAATGCGCTTTTTCGTCGCGTTGATATGCTTGTCGCTGCTTCTCCCAATTTTTGATGCCATGTTATTGCCGCCGATGAAGCCGAGGAAGTAAGCAGAATCAGATATTTTCATTTAAAGGGGGCCGGAAGTAGGATTAATGAAGTTTTAGAGGTGTTCTTCCGGAAGGCCCGATTCCTCAAGCATGCTGCCAAGTAATGTGCTATCCATATGACACGTGTGTTTGCTGTTTTGTCGTAAGTTTCACTAAAAATCTGTCAGATTTTCTGGCTCAAAAAAAGTAACCTGCACCTATTAAAGGTATGAGGACGGCATAAATCAAACCCCCCCTGGGAGGGGGGGGTTTGATTTCTTGGCTAACGTCCAATTACGACAGGGGTAGAGACGCAGAGGGGGCGGGGCGCGCCGTCCCAAGGGAAGGCCGCTCACAATGCCACACTGCGTGTCTGTGCTCTGCCTCTTTTCGCGCCCACCCCGACCGCATTATGCCGTCCTCATACCTTTAAGAAGTGCGAATCTTATTTTTACTTCTAAAAGGCAAAATATTATTTTTTCAGGACTACGACTATTGGAACGGCCAAGAAGTCGTCACTTCAAAAGGAGTACCCGATTGGCTAACGAAAAATGAAACCAAAAAGCCATAACCCCTCTGAAAACCGATGTTTCAAAGTCATTCCCAACTTCACCGGTCTGCCATAACATGCTCTAAACCCCAGCCCAACCCATCTCAACGATAAATATTTATCAAAACGCGACGAGAAACAGAAACCACATGAGATTTGGCATCCTACAAAGTTTTGGCTGATATCGGGAGGCTGGGTGAATATAAAAAAGCGCAATCCATCGAATGCCTACTATCACAACAAGGAATGTATCGAGGAGAATTGCTAGAACAAACAAAAAATTAAAATACCCCGTGCCGAGAGAAAAGGAGCGACGATTCAATACTTTTGACGTTACTGGCCGTATCGGCCTGAAAATGACAAAAATGGGGATTGGGCCTTTGCATCGAGCTGCGAAAAAAGATACACGTCACGGTGCGAAAAGATCTGTTGAAAATCAGGCTCCGGCGACCCGGTGAGCAAGTGGGAGAGAATGATCATAGCGACATACGAATTATTCCTGATCGAAGCTGGTGGAGAAACCGCCGCTGGCCGGTGCGATGAGGCCCTGGAGTTCGAACTGCGAGTCGATCATCTGAAAAGCGAGCTTTTCTAAAAATCGAATAATCCGATTTACCTGCATAAGTTCAGCGGGTGCAGGCACGCGTCCAGACTCGAGCTTTGACCAGATGAGATCCTAGAAATCATAATTTCTAGTTTTGCTTCGAATTCTCACATTCCCGAGGTAGATCTCGAAGGCGCCGGAGGAGAGCAGCGAGTTCTCAAGCATATTTGACAACAAGAACATCATCATGCAGGCGGAGAGCTATAACAAAAGTTATTAGTGTCAGTACGTAATTGTTTACCTTATTCCCATGAGCCCACTGCAAAACGCCGGGATATCCGAAGCCCATCCGCTCGAACGGGTTCGACCCCGAGATGACGGAGGCGATCATCATCATCTTGAAGATGCCGAGGAACTAAAAGAACAAGAAATATAGTTTTTAGTGAAATTAAGTCGATACCTGAGCAAAATAGCCTTTCCACGCGGCCGTCGGGTAGTTCTCGCCGTCGATTTGGATGCTCGGGTATTTCTCGCGCACGATTTGGGAGTACTGATCGAAGGCTTGACGGTAGCCGCAGGAGACGCTAAAAAGATACTAGATTTAATAGAAAAAAATAGATTTAGACAATCCTATTACTTTTTTAGTCTTTGAAAACTATTTTAAGCGGATCGAAAAGCTAAAGCTCACCAGAACGAAAACTTCAACGGCGGCAGCTCCTTGTTACCGAGAATCGGCTTGGGCTGGATAAACTGCGTCTGCTCCCGGACCTGGATGTGCTCGTCTTCAGTGCCCTCAGAATATCCGTGATCCTGAAAAATACAGGTTATAAAGGTTGTATAAATACACTTTCACCAAAAAAAGGCAAGCCATGTTCTTTACTTGAAAACGCTACAGCCAAAAATTCTGATAGTCTCAAAATTCCTTTAAATCACAATTTAAAACCCTGGACGCACCTCATCCCCAAACTCCTTCTGGAACTCGTCGTGCTCGTCCTCGTCGTGGTTGTGCTCCCGGGTGAAGACGTCCCGCATGGAGAGCGCGAAGAAGAAGAGCACGATGATGTAGCCGACCCTTGTCATCATCGACCGATCACCTGAAACTTTGTGGTCTTTCTAGAAATTAAAAACGTAATAAAAACAACGGAAAAGCCGATTTCTAATCATACAAGCTCTCGGCAACCGGACGCCTCTGGGGAATTGGGCCATGCTTGGAAAGGGGAGCCTATGGGCGCTGGGGCACGCTATAGGGAGCGGTTGACTGGGCTCGCTGGGGCCTAGTTCGTTCGTAGGCCAGTTTCGTACGGAACGTGATTTTAGGGGACCGGTTTGAAACCCCTAAGAAAAGCACGAACGATTTTCTATAGAAGTGGATACCAAAAAATTATAGCACGGAGCGGTTAAGATAGAAAAATTGGCAAAACTTTCTAAAACTGGTAACATAATATATTTTTAGGATACGTACTTTTTAATTTCTACAGTAGGAATAAACATGAAACTCTTTCAAGCGTTTTCGCGTTTGGGTTATGGTATGATTTTTTGATTCTCCAAAAACCCAGGGTTATGGTACCGCATTTCGATATTTCGAAGCTAATTTCGATGATGGAATTCCGACGTGCAACGGAATTCCAAACGGCGCGTTTTGTAAACTTTTATATTTTCTTTCATGGTGTTGAGCCGGAAAGTTCCCCGAATTCCTGAATTCCAGTCTATTTTCCGCCTCAAATTCCTGGCATAGCTCTCGAAATAGCTTTCCGCTTCTTGTAGGCTATCGTATTTTGGCACCTGTCCCGCGAGAGGGCCCTCTAAAAAGTGCTCGGCACGCACGGAATGCCTTCGGATAAGGCGGGGGTAACCCGAAGACAATGGGGGTTGTGCGAGTGTTTATGTGAGGCGAACACGTCCTTCCTTCCGTCTCTCTCTCTCTCTCCCTCTCTCTCTCTCTCCGTCTGTCCGTCAGTCGGCCTGTTTGTCGGTGTGTCCGTCTTGCTCTTGCCTTCTTGCCTCCCTCTCGCCCCTTCATTCCTTCGGCCAGCCACCAACATCGATTGATCGCCGCCTCTCAGCCAGCCCGGCCAGCCTCCTTCTTCAACATACTTTTCTCCGAGGCGCTTCCTATTCTTTCTCGCCCTCCTCCGCCTCGTTCGTCGATTTTTCCGGCCCTTTTTGACGGCGTCTGGGCTGATAACTGTCGTCAAATTCCTGCGCGCGCCCCACCGAAATCCATTAGCCCGATTAGCCTAGTTTGGGCGCCGCCACGCGCTCTGACGTTCCATTTTTTGGAAAAGCGGAAACCCGCACAGGCCCCGGATTCCACAAATTAACCACCGTAATCTGGATTCTGGGCGGCCGAAGATTTAACCCATTAGTTAACCAGGAAAGATTACAGGATTTTGACGCTTTTCTGGCGCGGGTGGATGTGTTTTAAAAACTCGATCCCGGTTTTTTTAATAAATTATTAAATAATAAGTTCGTGAAGAAATTTTTGAAGCTTTTTAGCGGTAAAAATTAAGCGGGCTTGGGGTATATTAGTAGCTCGGATTTTTCTTAATCTGGCAATGCCTAGAAACTTAGTAGGAAGTATTTTAATAATCGTTTTAGTAAAGTAAAACTCTATTTTGACTAGAAAAGCCATCTAAAAATTTAAGGTTTTTTTGAAAAAGTCGAAATTTGGTCAAAAGCGGCAATTTTTGGTCAAGCAATCGATAGTTTCTGTATTTTAAAACATTCTACTACTTTTAATTCTCCTGACTCTAATTTTAATAATAATCTTTACCTATAATTTTTGAGTTTACAAAGTATTTTTTTTTCTCTAGCATTGGCGTTTGATGAACGAGGCGCGGGACGTCGACGGGCGCCGCATCAACGCCGTGACGCCATTTCACCCGGGAGGTACGTGCTAATCTTGATTTAAAAATTAATTGATCATATTAAATCGAGGTAATTTTTCATCGAACTAATCTTTAAAAAAAAGCATTTTAGGTGAATCCGGAATGCTTAAAAACTTGCTGCAAGAGGCGCAGAATCAGCAGAAGCAACAACACCAACAACTCCAGCATAGCTACGGCAAGTTTTCCGGTGCTTTTTCGAAATTTTACAGGCACTGAGGTAGTTTATATACCTTTTAATAGATAAATAAAACCTGAGTATATCGCGGAATTTTCAGTGGATGATGATCTCGAAAGGCGAAAACGCGAAATGCTGGAGATGTACCAGAGTAAGGTGCTGCAGAATCAGTTCGCGTCCACCCCACAAATCAAGCTGAGTTCCGGGGCGAGGATACAGATTACAAAGGATCGGCCGTAAGTTGAAAGTACGGAATTTAAATTCATTTGTACCTTTTAGACACGATCTAGCCGCTCCACCATATGCAAATCCGGCAATGTCACACAGTCAGCCGTGTTTGGCAGCACTGGATCGAGTGGATGCGTAAGTTTCTGGCGTTGAAAGCTGGGGGAATTTAAGCCTTAGATATTTAGGTTTATCAAACTTGATTAAGGTATATAAAAATAGATGCCGCGTATTTTTGAACTCGAAGAATCAGGGAAATCGCCGAAAATATTTGATTTTAGTGGCCCAGCTAAAAAACAGCACGCCCCGTTTCAAAGATGTTCATCTACAGAGCATGAATCCAGCTCCCACCTTCCGAATCGACAAGTATCAAAAAATTATTACATCTTTTTTATCGATTTTTTTAGGTTGGCAACACCCAGAAACTCGTTAATTCATTACGAGAGGAAAATCTGGCTTTAAAGCGACAAATCGAGGTCTTGAAGTTCAAGACAAGTCGATTACAAAAAGTATGTAGTTCGTTACTTTACGTTAACTTTATTTAGCTCGAAGCCGCGCACGAGAAAATCGCCGGCGAGTACGAGTTTTTGATGATGGAAAAGGAGAAGCAGGACAGCTTGGAGCGACAGGCGTTTAAGGCGATGGAAGTGCAGTTGAACAGGTATTTTAAAAAGCAAAGTTAGCTTCCAAAAAGCTATTTCTAGACTTTCCCGCGAGCGCGAGATGATGGAGAACAAGATGCAAATGATGCAGAATCCGCAGATATTTGCGGAGCAAGAGCAACAGTTGCAGAAGATGAATGCAAAGATTCTGGAGGAGCAGGAGCAGAGTGAGTTCCGATACGATCTCGATGAGAGCCTTGAAATTAGATAAAAGGCTGAAAGAGGTTTTGAATCGGCAAAGCGTCGAGATGCAGGCGCAGCGGACGACGCTGGCCGATCAGCGCACGCACATTAATGTGCTAGAAACGGCGTTGACGAATGCACAGGAGAGGATAGCCAGGAAAGAAAAGGTATATTTCAGGGGGTTTTTGCGGTTTAAAGACTGCTAGAACACTGGAACGCACACTGTCACCCCGAGGGTGCGGCTCCCAAGAACGCGCGGAGAGAGGCGTTAGTGGTGGTGCCCCGTATTGGGCAAAGGCCATCTGGGGTTTGGGGCACCTCTGACTCCCCTCCCCACCTGGCCCTTTGGCATAGTGGCTAGCGCGCCGGACTGTCAAGCGAACCATCGCGGGTTCGACCCCCGCCAGGTGCGCAACTTTCTTGCTTTCAACGGAATTTCATCGTTCTGACGCTCTTTAAAGGGGTGGGAAGTCGATAATGACTAGATTCCATACAGAATCGGAAATTTTTCGACGTCTTAAAGGGCTGTGCAAGCCAATAACTTTCCTTTTTTCGATTAAATTAATCCCCCAAACATACCGAAAGTTCAGATGCGCGAGGAATACGAACGACCAGATAACACGACTTTCCTCGAAGGTCAACTCCACAAAGCATTGCTGGAAAAAATGGTAGGTAGTTTGCCAGCCAAAAATCTTTTTATCTGCCGGTTAGAGGTAGTGGTTACATGGCAAAATTCCAGGAACAAGCCGGAAAGTATGAGGAAGAGCGTGGACGACTCGAACGCGAAATCGTGCAGCTGAGAATGCAGTTGACAAAAGACAGCGGCCTAGGTGGTATCAAAATCGGCTCGAGCTCCCGGCACAACCCTGAGGAAAATCCGGATCGTTTCAAAAAAGTGAGAAATCGCTCCTTGCTTTGCCAGGCTTTCAGAAATATCGATAAAGGCCCCGTATAGCTTCAACTTTCTAGGTTATCTCGGAAAAGGACAAACGCATCCAAACGTTGGAACGAGAAATCATGGAATTCCAAAGGCGACTCCACGAAGAGCAGGAGAAGAAGACGTCGGCATTAGCAGCTGTTAGTGGCGGTCTCGAAACGAAAATCAAGCGGTTAGAAGATGAGAAAATTGATAGGGTAAGTAAAGACACAAAAATAACTTTAAAAATCTTAGGATCGCCGGATAGCCGAGTTGACGGAAGAGCGGGAGCGTTTGAACGAGATTATCGAGGATAGAGGGTACGTTAAAAAAACTCGGGGAATCTCTAGATGGTCATAATAATTCTGCTGATTTTTTGGTGGGGATCTTGCTATCCAAATCTGTTTTTCTAGGTCCGAAGCGGCGCGGCGGGACCTAAACCGAATGGAGGAGATGAGGCAGAAAATTGATGAACGACGGCGACGTGGTCGGAACGAGAATAATAATCGAGGCGAGATTAGCGCATCGTAAGTAACGTTTTTAGGATCTAATCGTAACCAAAATGTTTAGAATCCTCGTTGACCATTCCCCGGGTGGTTCCCCGTCACTTCGTACCCCGGTATATGAGGGTATCGGCTATGATTCTTCTTCTCTTCTTTCACAGGTAGTTTTTTATAAAAATTAAACTGGAAATGTTAATTCTTCCAGATTTCCAGCTCCAGCCACCTGTCGGGTTCTTCTAATCAATTCGTGTCTTCGTTTAATTCAAAGTAAGTAGCAGCTAGCTTGCCTGGGAAAAGAACGTAATGGTAGCTTGATTTCTAAATATACTTATCGAGTTTCATTTTTTAAATGCGCGATTTGAAACCTTTTTTAAAAAACACCCTGCATACAGCCAACTTTCTTACCGTTATAGCGGCATACAGTGTTAATAAACCTTACTGTAAAGTGTTTTTACTCAGGTTGGAATTTCGATTCGGGAGAATGAGAAAGTATCACCAAAACCAAGAAACCGTTATCGTTTTCGATTTTCTTGATCAACTTCAACTTCAAAATTGACTATAATTTGGCTAGACAAGCATCTTAACGCCAAAACAAGCTTTTTTTTGATAAAAAAGAGTTGTTATGCGAAAAGCAAACGAAGAGATGCAGGGCGGGTGTCGAACCGCCGCCCTGCGCGTGGCAAGTGAGCACTTTGCCAACGCACCATGGCGCCAACTGGGTAGCCGGCTGTGAGAGCGTACTTCAGGGGTTTTGGGAGACATGGAACCAGGGAGGGTTTAGTGGGTCAGAATCCGAATTTTTGGCTTTTGTAAGCTTAATTAGCACCAAAACTACTTTTTAAATAAAAGTCCGCAGCAAATTTGGAAAACGGATTCGGAATCAGCGAAAAATTCTGCACAAGATGCACTTGGTCCCGAACCAAAACCCTAACCTGAGTAAAAACACTTTACAGTAAGGTTTATTAACACTGTATTAACAAAACTTGAGAAATATACCGTAGCAGTATCTTGCTTGCTGAATTTAGCCTTTAAACTAACTAAGTTCTTACTAGATCAGAATCATACCAAAAATCATACCTTCCAGACAATCCGCCAACCCCTATCAAATGCACAACCTCTCACACGAGGACACCATCCAAGCCGAAAGTGGCCCCGTGTGGAATGTTTAGAATTTTCCGTCCACAGTAAGGTTTTTGTCTAGTTTTCCAACTGGTTGTCATTTCTTGCCTACGCAATATTCTATATACAAACAAACTTACGCATAGGGCAACAGACGCAAAAAAAGTTCGCTAGTCTTTTCAACCCCCCCCCTTTTCTCCTGACCATATTTGTCATTTTTTTTGTTTTGCGCGACCGGGTGCTATCTATCACAATACGGTATCCACTTTTTCATATGTCCTTTCAGTTCTCTTGATTTTTATTGAATTTGTTTGATTCTCTGATGCCAGCGATGCCAAAAATTATTCTACTTTGAATGGTTCTAAAGTGCCGATATTTATGTATTTTGTTGTAAATAAATCTTAAAATTTTTTGAAAACTAGAAATTCAAATTTCACCCCCAGCAAGCGGTCCGATTTGGAAACATTGGTTGAGCCCCGGGGATTAGCGTCTTTTAGGGCGCTTCTTAGAGGCCGGCCCGCCCCGCTTTTTAGTTTTTTCAGACGTCGCGTGCTCTTCGCGAGACACTTCACTATTGTTTTTTTATGTCTCTAGTGCGTCTAAGGGGTGGGGCTTTGACGTTTTTTTTAAATCTGGCCATCTGGCGCTGCGCAAAGCTCGTAATATTTGCTTAAAGTAGTGTGTAGTGTATTATTTATAGTGATTTATAGTCAACCAGTGGAAAATGACCGCTTCGCGGCCCTTTTCCACTGGACCCCGTCTAGGAATCATGAATTCCCTTTCCTTTTCTTGAAGCCGGACGGTGCAAGAGCCTGACTCAAGGAACCATTCATTGGCCTGCGCCGCCAGAGCCAGCTTCGCGCTAGAAACTTTCGCCTGCGGCGCTAGCTACTGATTTTTCGCCCGGATTTAGCCTGCGGCGCGAAAGCGTAAGTCAAGGAGCTTTTCTTTGGCCTGCGGCGCCAGAGCCAGCATTCCGCTAGAATCTTTGAGTCTGCGGCGCTAGTTACTGGGTTTTCTCCAGGATTGGCCTGCGGCGCCAAGGCCTGGCTCAAATTTTTTTCTTTGGCCTGAGGCGCTAGAGCGAGAGCCAGGCCTAAAACTCGCACACCGAGACCATAGAAATATGTTTTGTTGTTGAACTACCAAAAAGCAAAAAGTTAAATTCGGCGTGGATTGCAACCCGGACCACGCGCTTGGTAGGCGGGCGCCTATCCACTACACTACGAGGGAGATGGCGATGGGCGGCGGGAAAGGCCTCTTCTGTCTTGGTGGCCGGGGGATCCCGTGAAGGGGGACTTCTGGTAACTTTACAAAATTCTCTTTTTGAATCTAAATGCGCCGAAAATTTGTAAAAATAATAAGATGCGCTGATCCCCACTATCGAATACATAAGTGGGCCAAATTACAGACCAAAATTCCATCTGGGATTCGAGTTATTGCCCGGACACCACGGCTCTTGGCCCATTTTATTAAGGACCGTCTAGTAAACAGCTCATAAAATCTTTATTTTAAGGGATTAGGCAAAATCCAAAAAATAGTATCGGGAGAATTGCTTTTACCACTCACCCTCCAAAAATCAGAGCCCAGCCCCTCTTGGCGGCCGAGAAAACCTCCGGACATACCTTTTTTTGGGCAAAAGGTTAAGGATTTTTCACTGTTTTTGTTGTAAAATCGTTGAATGAAGAAATTCCGCAAAACAAAAAAATGCATCACTGACAAATGTGTTTCTCCACCTCCATGCCAAAAATCAGCCGGAAATTCGGCCAGACGACCGAGAAATCTTCATTACAGAAAACAAACATACTTTTCTCGCTTATTGGATAGGATTGTAGGCCTTGATTTTTCCTTGCCATTGAGAAGAGCAGTTGTGCTTTTAAAATTCCAGCAGAGGGACGGGCACTGCTTTGAAAACTCGTCAGAAATTCCTGCTGTTTGCAAGAGCGGAAATCGAATGTGCTTTAAAGGGCAGCCTGGCGTTGAAAACAACAAAGTTACTCGTTTTTGTGTTGTTTGTGCTTGATTTTTTCAGCTATTAGATTTATATAAGATGAGATATATAAATGTGTCTGTACCTCTCTGAACCTGTATCATCTCTCAGAGTTTGTGCCTGTATACAGGTCATACAGATACAGCTTTTAAATTCGGAATTAAAGTTGACCAAAAATTGCTTTAAAGCGCACGTTCAGGGAGGGGCCGTATACTCGTCCCAACGACGTGTACACCCTATGGACGTAGGGACCGCGCGCATTGCCTGCCCGTGCTGTGACAGGCCATTCCCCTGCTTTGCGGCGTGGGGCGCCCTTCGCCCCCTCGCCAGGTTGTCGCTATGGCTGACTGGTATGCGTCCGCGCCTCCCGAACGGGGGAACCGGGTTCCACCCCCGGCCGCGGCAAAAATGTTTCCTTTCTTGTCCCTTTTGGATCTATTAGCTCCTAAGAATTGACTTACGGTATTTGCGTCGTTTGCTAGTCCTGAAGGCTCATTTTTCCTCATCCAAATCACTCTATTTCGAAAGCCGTCCCCTCTTCCGAGCAATTTGTTTAAATTTGTCGCCAAGCGGAGTGTGGCGCCGTGAGGGATGGCCGAGTTCGTGGAGGGCAGCGCCCGAATTTTACACTGAAAATGTGATGATCCAGCTGGCAGGCCACGGGGAAATGGCTTGTTGTGTGCCCCGGGCATGTATTTATGGAGTGTGCCCCCGGGGGGCTTTTCGCCGTTGTTTTGATCGATTTACTGCGTGATTTAAGTGATTTGGCGCTCTAAAAACATTGAAAAAAATGCTGTAAATTCCTGAAAAGTTTTCTAAAAGCATTTTGCAGGGTAAGTAGGGCTTTTTTTGTGTGGGTTTTCTCATCAATGTTATAACTTTTTTACTTGTTCGATAGCAGGTTAATCGTATTTTCGTTTAATGGCAGCCAGTTTTTTTTTGGAAATTTTTTGTTGCTTGTTTTTTTTTGCAAATCGAGTCCTTTCTTTTTAAAGGTTAATCACAAGAAGCCTAAGCCTGACCCCGAAGCCTAAGCGTCGCCAGCTTTACTAAGGTTCTTTTCAGCATAAAATCTCCGTTTTCTCTGCTTTCAATTTTCCTTTAACAGCATTTAAGCTCCATTGAACCCATTGTTCTTAAACCTTCATTCCATCAAGACAGACGACCTGGCCACCGACGTCTCAAAAAGTGCCCCATCTGTCACCACGGATTCGGGAGGAGGAGGAGAAGCTGGCCCCGAAATGGCGTCTGGTCCTCCAAAGAACCTCGGCCGCTCCATTTCTCGTTTTCCTCCCCCTTCTTTTTTGGACTTTCGGACCGAGCCGGCACCCATTTGGGTCGTGGATTTTGGTGGGTCCCCAGGGGGATTGATCCGGTACCTGAGAGGGTTTTGCTAAGGGAACATTTTGGGCTTTGGAGCAACACGCCCAATAGACTATAATTTTTAAGGAATTAATCCGAAATTAAATTGAAGTAATACAATATTAAACCAAATTCCTAGTTTTTTGTCATTTTTGAGGTTAAACAGGCTAAATTAAATTGAAACTTTTCTTTGAAACTTATTATGCAGATCTCTGTCCGTTCCATCTATTGCTTCGCCCTAAAATTGGACCCTCGGCCGTTCGTTTCCCCCTCTCGTCGCATCAAACTCGATTTTCGGGCCCTCGGCGGGCTATCGGCCTTCAAATAATGGGATGGGCCGCCCGATTCTGTTGCGTGTCGCCATGGAATTTGTTTCTTGTATTTTTTACTAGACCCTATGTGCTATATTTTTGCAATTTTTGCCAAATTTTTGGAGGCCGGCTTACCCTTTTAGCATAATTGTCTAATTCATCTGGGGTGAATCCCCACTGAAAACAACATCTTTGCTAAATTTCGATCGAACTCCTGGTTTCTCTCTCTTTCTCTCTCTCTCTCTCTCTCTCTCTCTCTCTCTCTCTCTCTCTCCCAAGCTCTCTCCGTCTCTCTCGCCTCTCGCTCTTTCTCTCTCTCTCTCTCTCTCTCTCTCTCTCTCACTCGCGCTCTCTCTCTCTCCTAAGCTTCTTCAGCCGATCATTGAAGTTCTGAAGTCTCAACCCCCTGATTTTTTATGCAGATTGACCGCGTTGGGGTGGAAGGGCGGGTGGTCGATGTGCATCCGGCCCCACCGCGAGACCACGCCGGAAACAGGGGAATTCGGGTGAAAATCCGCAGCCCCTCCGGATGCGGCCACCAAAAGCCGCGAGACCTCGCAGGCATTATACTAAAGTTTCCGAGGGTTCCAGTCTTCAATTTAGATTTCTAATTTTCGAGACGCCTTTTGTACATTTTGATGGCCTTTAAAGTACCTTGAAAAGAAAGCGGAGACAAATTCAGAGGGGATGCCTAGTCGCTCAGAGTTCTCCGAGTACGTAACCTTCCTATTGCCAAATCTTGTAGCAAACCCTCCATCCCTTAAATCTTGTTTGAAGCGACTCCCTTGCCAATTTTCTCGTTTTTTTTCTTGCTTTCAGGGCTACAGGAAAATGCCGAGTTTCTGGAACTTTGCACCAGATACCTTCAAGCCCCAATTTTTTGGTCCAACTTTTCCAAAAAGGACAGGCTAAATTGTTTACCATTATCCATCGCTAAACGCATTGAAAATGCATCCAATAACTTCCATATTCAAAAAATAATTTATATGCAGCGGAAGTGCACTAATAAGTAAAAAAGGGGTTAGCGGGCTACGCCCGCTAACCCCGAAGGTACCTCCCAAAAGCTTGTGCGTGGCATTCGGCTGGATGCCTTTGCAAAAGCAAGAACCCCCTCCACCTCAACGCGGCCAAACACAGCCATTTCCGTCCGTCCCGTGGCACTTGTGGTTAGTGGTGGATGGACAAAAGGGGGAATTTCGGGGGTGCATTTTCGGGATTAGTCTGCTTGCCCAAAGGTCTACCAGAACACATCATTTGGTCGTTTTTGGGCTGACCTCTTTTCTGTTCTAGGCTAATTTTCATCTGAACCGGCTTGGTTTTTGGAACCGGAATTTTCGGCTTTCGATTTTCATTAGGTCGCTTTAACGCTTTTTATCCGATCTAGGTATTTTAAACATATAATTTAGAAGCCTACAATTTACTTACTCCTGCTACATTACCTACCTTACACCCGGAAAGAACACCACTTCCGTGACATTCCCGTAAACCCCCGGGGGGGGTAACGGCGGAACGCATATTTTTTTGCCCGTTTCCGCCGCTAGGTGAACCGCTCCGAAATGCAATCGTGGCCCCCGGGGATAGACGGATACCGTTTTAAAAAGAGCCATTCCGGAACATGAATTTTTGCACGAAGTGGTTTACTGTATTTAATAGTTTAATAGGTGCTATCCATATTTTAAATCGAATCCCGTCAGGCCTAGATTTCGACTGGGTTTTCGAGCTGAAGCTGCTCCATGGATTTTGCCGCACCCTAGGCACGCGACGCGGGGGTTAGCGATCCATCACGCAATGGAAAAGCCGGTGAGCGCGTTGCAGTACTTTGCGTGCTCCATAGAAAACCCATAGCCATGCCTGGCCTGCTTCTATTTTTGGTTGAAACCTTCTTGTAAACCCAGGAATTTTGCCAAATTCACCTTTTACCACCAAACCACCCGACCACACACTTTCTGGACTTCAGAGCCCAATCTATCACCCATCCCAGCCTCGGTGGGTCTCTTAAATTCCCTCAAAAACCCGGGGCCACAACCTGCGTCAGGTGGCCCAAGTAGACCCAGTCAGAGTCGTCTTTGATCCCCGATTCTGTTCGACATACCACCCCACAGGGGGGCCAATCACCATCTTTTTTCTGGAGGGTCTGGCTGGTCAATACGTCGATTGTCTGGTTTTGTTAAGTCGATCTAATTTGCCATTGATGCTTTTCTGATTTTCACGCAGTTAAGATAGAAAGAGAGCGAGACGAGAGAGCCAGCGAGAAAGTGAGCGTATGTGTTAGACACAGGGGGCAACGAGAGAGAATGCCGGAGAGAGCAAGCGAGAGAGCGAACGAGCTAGTAAGTGTTATTGCCGATGTTCTAGTTTTCCAACAAAGTCCGGCTTTCTTGCACAACAACTCTTTATACCATCTTTTGCGTATTTTCTACATTTCGTGTTTTCTTTTTTTTTTGTTCTACCAGAACCCAACTGTTAATTTGCTCACTCCCTATCTCCTCTTGCTCTCCCCCCCCCCTTGTAAGTTTTGGCTATCAGGTTTCTCAGGAAAGTTGCCAACTGTCGTTTGGGCCACCTAATGATGATATTGGGTTCCCACGAAGTGCGAAAAGAGGAGCATCTTTGCTCATTCTCCTTGTCGTTTCCAGCCGCACGTCTTTGTAATTAAAGGGGGTATTGAGGCGCGTGAGGTGGAAGCGGGTGGACACGCGTAATTTCCGGCAGATTTCGATGCTAAATTTTTGACGGGGCTGTTTTGGTTTTGCCTATGAAAAAATAAAGATTTTTCTTGCTCTTTACGCCGTTTTTCTTGATATCTCTCTCTTTCTCTCTCTTTCCCTCTCTCTCTCTCTCCTTTCGTGAGATTCAAAACGTACGTGATGTTCTATATATTTTTATGATTTACTTCCGCTCTTGTTTGTCTTTTTTTTATTCTAAAAAAATGCCCTAAACTTCTACTTTAGCTCCCAGCCGGTTATAAGCGCCCAACCGGAATGCGCGCATTTTGATGTCGGCGCTCCCACAAAGGCAGGGAACGGCTGAATGAGTTAAGGTAAATCGGCCGAATAACCCGCTTTTTTTGGGTTTGCACTATTTTTTTAGCTGTTGATCCCAAACCCTTCCATTTCGTTATTTTTTAGCAACCACCATTAATGCGCCCAGGAGTGCCATGCCGCTAATGTACCATGCACTCCTTTTGGCTATCGGACTGTTTCGGATAGCGGAGGGGCTGGCGGGTAAGTAAAGGGTTGAAAAATTTTGTGGAATGCCGACAGTTAAATCGACAATTCGAAATTCCGACAAGTCGAAATGCTCACAACGGGTCAAAATGTCAAAATCCCGACAATTTCGAATACCGAGGGCCAAAGCTATCGTACTAATCTGTCTGGAACTGCAATATGCTTTGCCGGCGTCGTTGTCGAGATTTTCGCTTGTCGGCATCATTTGGACTTTTCGATAGTACCGACGTTAGAAACTTACTGTCGACGCTATTCGTGTCGCAATTACTCCTAAAATTGGCGTTTAGACAACGAAATCCCGGAACACTACCAGATTGTCGACCGGATTCTGAAGGGTTACAACCGGGATATGATCCCGAAATTCATGAATCGCAGCGTCGATGTGAAATTCTCGATGGAACTGTATCAGATTATTGAAGTGGTATAAAAACGTTGAACCGCTAAAAATTATCAATACAATTTTTAGAACGAGCCACAACAATATTTAATGTTGAATTCATGGATTGTAGAGGTAGATATACGATATATATTTTAAACCATTTCGAAACTGGTTAAAAAACGCAGAAAAGGCTAATGCGTATTAAAAGCAATTTCAGCTGATGAATTAACCGATTAAATCCACTGTTTTTAGCGGTGGGTCGACGGGATGCTTGGCTGGAATCCAGAAGACTTCGATGGCACCTCAGAAATCGTGCTTCCACATTCAAAAATCTGGCTTCCGGACACGACGCTTTACAACTCGTACGTCACCTCGTACGGACATTCACTGATTGTTATAGCCTGGTAATGGACGAGGGTGAGACTCGTCGTCTTTTGAATGCCAAATTGACCACCATTAACAACGGTACCGGCGCTTACGTTGAGATGCTTTATCCAACGATCTACAAATTGAGTTGCAACCTTGATGTTAGGTAAGGACGACATGCAAAATTTAATGGAACTGTGGTACTTCAGATTCTTCCCGTTTGACGTTCAAAAGTGTAGTTTGACTTTTGGAAGCTGGACGTTCGACAATACCTATATTGATTACCATCCGTATAGTGGAGCTATTGGAACGACGAATTGCATAGAAAATGAAGGATGGAATGTTTTACGAACTGAAGGTGCGTAATTCGCGTGTTTTCGGTGCAATTAATGCGTAAATAGCTACGCTAGATCTTCCGAAATAAGTGGTTACGCATCACTACCTTTAAAAACCGTCAGACGATGAAATTTGGTTAAAACCAAGAAAGTCGCGCACCAGGCGAGGGTCGAACTCGCGATGGTTTGCTCCACAGTCCGACGCGCTAGCCACTATACCACAGGGCCGAGTAGGGAATGGAGTCAGAGGCGCCCCAAACCCAAGAGGGCCTTTGCTCGGTACGGGGCGCTACTAATGACGCCTCTCTCTGCGCGTTCTTGGGGACCTCACCCTCGGGGTGACAGTGTGCGTTCCAGAGTTCTAGCAGTCTTTAAAACCCTAATCCCACGATTTTTTTAGTCGAACGAAAGGAAAACAAATACGACTGCTGCCCCAATAATTACACCTTACTTACCTTTGCCATCCACATCCAACGAAAGCCGCTCTACTACGTTATTAATCTAATTCTGCCTACTAGTATTATAACAATCATTTCGATTGTAGGATTCTTCAGGTGAGTTTTCTTCCGATAGAGCTAAAAATTTGGCAATTCAGCTCGTCCTCCCCGCACGAAGTGCGGCAGGAGAAAATCACGCTCGGTATCACCACACTGCTCTCAATGTCGATTCTAATTCTGATGGTCTCGGATAAAATGCCTTCCACGTCTTCGTTCATTCCGCTAATCGGTGAGCTGGACTTTCTGACTATCCCCCCCTCTCTCTCTCTCTCTCTCTCTCTCTCTCTCTCTCTCTCTCTCTCGCTCTAAAACCGACCTTTTCAGGGTGGTTCTATACGGCTATGATCAGTCTCATCTCGGTGGCTACCATTTTTGCCTCGCTAGTCATTTGGATTCAAAAGAAGGTAAAGAAACTGCCTTTGTATAAAAACGTAATTTTCTTAGGGAATTGTTGGAACAGCTCCGCCGCCAAAATTAATGTGGTGGGCACGGTTGGTCGGCCGAAGAGTCTATTTGGAGTTGCCGCTCCTTATGAAGCAGGCTTATGCCAGGAAAGCGGCGGTAAGTGGCATTTTATTGAGCTTAAAAGCTGAAAGTTATCTTCAAAAAGCGGAAAATTTAACAACTATGAAAAATGCCTTCACAATGACGCTCGAGAGGCACAGTAACATTGCTCTTTAGGAAGAAAAAGCCCGGAACGCCGGCCGGAAGCCCAGCCTTTGGCAAAAGGTCTACAAGATGAGCCGGGTGGGTGCCTGCGATACCTTAAGAAATTCTAAAGCTTGCCCTAATAACAGCACAAGCCTCATTTGCTTATGCTAGGGTAGAAGAACTTTTTCCAAGCTAGGATTAGATCCTGCATGCCTCAAAAATTTTGGATGGCTTTCGAAGTCGATTTGTTTAAAAAATTGTGGAAAACCGTTTATGCTAAATTTAAAGGGGGCCAGGGCAAGCTGTAGATTTGTTGCCGATGAATTCTTTCTGGCTTTTCCGATCTGGTTCGGCAAATCTCTTAGAAAATCCATAGCGATGCCTTGCCCATCCCTTTAAACCCCCCCCCCCCCCTCCCCTCCCCCCTTTCTTCCCCCCGGGACCCCCATTTATTTTTTTTTTTTTTTTCCCCCCTTTATTTTTTCTCCCCTTTTTTTCAAAATTTTTTTTTTAAAACCCAAAATTTTTTAAAATATTTAAAAAAAAAAATTTTTTTTTCAAAAAAAACCCCCAAAAAAACCCCCCAAAAAAAAAAAAAGGTCCCCCTCCCCCCCCCCCCCCCCATTTTAAAAAAAAACCCCTTAAAAAATTTTTTTTTTAAAGACCAGAGTATCATCCTAAATTGGCTTCAAAAGCTTCGTGAGCTTCATTCTTCAACCTAGCTTCCCAGATTTCAGACCAGTAATATTTTCACGACCACGCAAACACAGAAGGTAACATTTTAGCGAGGCTGTCCCGGCTTTTCCCCTCCGGCTTCCCGCTGTTTTTCGAGCCACTAAACTTTGTTCCGCCTACCCCTTAGCACTAATATTTTCCGCTTGGTTTTGCTTCTTCCCTCTGTCAGTTTCCCAATTTCACACTCCCCCTGTAGCAACGGTCGAGCTCGCTGCCCGTCGTCGAGGTTTGAGACGATTTTCGAGTTTTTAATTTTCGATTTTTCACTTTCTTCCCCTGTTCCCACACTAATTGCGCCGCACCATTAATTGGTTTAGATTGTAATGTATAGGGTTTTTGACGTCAAGCGGTATCACTTTCAGGTGGTGAACGCTTTCGGGAACCAAAACGGCGCAGCGGCCAGGCCGATGAAGCCGAAAAGTTTTCCGAATTTGGCGAACGTCTCGGCAATGAAGGGCGCAAGTGAGCCACCTGTACAAAAGAAGAGCTTGGCGTTTTCAATTGACGATCGAGGTGAGCATAATAGTGAAGATATTTGCAGGAGCGATTAAACTAGAAGAAAGATAAGGGTAGAAGAGAGAGAGAGAGAGAGAGAGAGAGAGACGCAGTGCGCTCAAGAGAAATAATCGATAAAAAACTTTTTTTCCTCTCCCACATCCACTAGGAACTCCGATCAAGTTAGAAAACAATTAAATGGGATTCCGGTAAGACGGCTATTTTTCTAGACTTTGACCCCGAGGATAGACCAAGTCCACCCAAAGGTAAGCCCACTGCACCGGCCGAACCCCCAAGATCTTGATATTGTACTTGTAAATCTATGAATCTATGATATATATACAATGCTCGGTTGGCTCTGGCCATGCACTGCACTAGTCTTATTGCCGGCTTAATACGATCCTGATTTAATTTTTCAGATAACACCCCGATGATCGATGATGAAGAAGCGCCTGAAGACATTATACGGAAGTACAAGCCGGCCAAGCAGCTGCGGAGCCCTACCAGCATCGCTTCCTATGATAATTTGTTCCGGAATTTTGAGCCCGGACCTGGTATGGGATCAGGTTGGTGATTGGGTCTTGGGGGATACGGTAGTTCCTACTTAACTCATAACACCTTTTGATAAAATTGTCAAAATGCGTAGGCTAGGCAAAATAATTGGATGACATTCGTCCTTCGCACAGGCCTGGGCTTGGGCTTAGGCTTACAAGGAGATGGTCTCAGCTGGGAATCGAATTCGGATTTGAAAATTTGCACACTTATAAGAGCTCGACGAGACAAATCGATTGGTGTAACTTTCAGCTGCTGATACAATAACCACGCCGAGTTATAAGCTTTTTAAGTTTTTGCATACATTTTGCATTTTTTCAGCCGTAGCTTCATAGGCCTTCCCGGCCTCCCCATCACCATGGTCTGGTGGCCTAGTGGTATGGTAGGCGTCCTTCGGGGAATCTAACGAGGGTCCGAACCCGCTCACGATTTTTATTTTTTGCTTTTTCGCCCGAAGGTTCCTCTTTGCTTTCTGAGGACCTTGTATAACTTTTTACGCATTATTTTAACTCCTCTGGTGCGAAATGGCTAAAAAACATCACTTTGAAAAAATTTAGATTTTTTTACCCGAAAGGACTATGCCGGTCCCAAAATAAATTGAAAATTCAAAGCATATCAAAAATCGTGGAGTAAACGTAATTTTGGTAAATGGTGTGTTATCCGAACAAAAACTTTCGTCCGCGAAAATTTTTTGGAAATGGTAGTCATAGGTCGGACAAGGGCTCGATGCCCAGCCAGAAAAATTTTTGCGGTGAAGTTTGATGTTGTCGGCGCATTAGTGGAGAAAAAATAATGCGTAAAAAGCTATGCAAGGTCCTCAGAAAGCAAAGAGGAACCTTCGGACGAAATAGCAAAAAATAAAAATCGTGAACGGGTTCGAACCCTCGTTAGATTCCCCGGAGGCCGCCTGCTACACCACTAGGGCACCAGACGATGGTGAGAGGGAGGCGGGAAGGCCTATGAAGCTATGGCGGAAAAAATGCAAAATGTATGCAAAAACTTAAAAAGCTTATAACTCGGCGTGGTTATTGTATCAGCAGCTGAAAGTTACACCAATCGATTTGTCTCGTCGAGCTCTATAAGTGTGCAAATTTTCAAATCCGAATTCGATTCCCAGCTGAGACCATCTCCTTGTTAGGCTTGGGCGCGTGCGCGCTTATGCTTAGGCTCAGGCTTCAGCTTGGGCTTTGGCGTGGGCCCGCCTGAAGCTTGAGCTTGATTTTACGCATCGGCCTACGCCTAGGATCAAGCATGGGCTAAGAATAGGCTTTAACTTGAGCTTGGGCTTGGATTAGGAATGGGTTCAGGCTTGTGTCCTGGCTCAGGCTTAGGTTAAGGCTTAGGCTTAGGCATACGAGCTAGGCTTGACATAACAAATTAATCTTCAAAAATAAAAGTAACTAAAAATATCAGAATATCAAATTAAAAAGTTTTCAGCAGCCCCCACCAATACCGAACGTCGTAACCTCGCCCAACTCGAGTACGACTGGCTGGCCGCCGTCTTTGAGCGCATTTGCCTGCTCGTTTTCATTGTCCTGTTCCTTTTCATGTCGGTCGGCATTAACATGCTTGGCTGGTATTACTGGAAAAACGCCGAAGTTGTGCCGTTTTGATTTTTAAACATTTTTTTACTTCCAGTACAAACTCCTTCGAATCTCCGCCTAGCGCCATCCAGAACAATCCGGGTCTTGAGTCGTTTTTTTTGTTGCCAGTGTTCTCCATTTCGTGTCCTCCCATTGATGAGCTTAAAGTTTCACGTTGACTGTGAGTGTAAAATAAACGTTTATTATTGATAAAAATCCCATTTTTGCGTATTTCATAGGAATGTTCAAAATGCAAATTAAAACTCGCAAATTAAGGTCGGGCATTCATAAAATTCTTCGTGAATTCCGAATTTTTCTTTGATGGAATTCATTAAATCGACTGCGAATTGAGAACGTCTGATCAGCGTTTTCTAAAAAACTTCACTTCATTTCGTTTTCTCTCACACACTCTCTCTCTCTCTCTCTCTCACTTTCTCTCTCTCTCTCTCTCTCTCTCTCTCTCTCTCTTTCTCTCTCTGGCTTTCTCCCATCTCACTCACACTCTCACACATGAACAGTCTCTCTCTATCACTTGCTCTCTCTCTCTCTCTCTCTCTCTCTCTCTCTCTCTCTCTCTTCCTCGCGCCCACTTACCATACAAACCATCGTAAGTAGGTTAACATGAATGAATCCAGCCTGTGTATCGAGTTGAAATTTCACAGGCGCCTGGTCTCCCAAATAATCTACGGTTAACCAGAAATCAATGCTATTCTAAAATAAAAAATTATTTAAACAAACGAAAATTCCAACTACCATACACTTCGTTGGTTGGTAACGAAAGGTACTATGCTTTCGTAAATTCAAGAGAGTCCCAGAAACAGTCTCATTAATGTTATAGCAATGGTAAGTATCTCTCTAAAGATGCCAGATTTTTTCGTAGTTGGAAATTAGACAAATCCCGCGAGCTTACGAAAAAAACGTTGATTCTTACCATCTCCGGATCCAGAGTTTTCAAAGCTTTGTATGGAATCGAGGTAGCAATATCATCATTTGCCGGTAAATACGTACAGTGATTAATGACAGGGACTAATTCAGAAAAAACCAAGCAAAGGAATATAAAAAACAATAAGGTTTCGACCATTTGGATGATAAATGGTTTTCGTGAAAGTTGGCGTTCGGGAAACCCGATCAGGTGTTTAGAGTGGGCATGCGAGTCATTTTAACAGCAAAAAAACTGGATAACAAGACTGGATGTTGGGCCAGCATGGTATATAGCAATGACAGATAGTAATACAATTAAAAAAATATTTATATTTCGAAATATTTAGAAGCATACGAATTTTTTATTTTTGCTCAAATGAATTTTCCGAATCGTTAGAAAAAAATTAGTATTAAGGAGAACCAGCAATAACTAATAGAGGAACGAGAGAAGGAGGAGAACGAAGAGAAAGAGTGATAGCGAGAAAGAGAGACAGTGAGAGAGAGAGAGAGAGAGAGCAGGTAGAGAGAGCGAAAGAGAAATCGAGAGAGCGTGAGTTAAATATCAAGTGCGATACATTTTAAAGTTTCATGGTCTGTATGTTGGTTGCAAGTATGTTATTTGCCTTCAAAAAGCCTCCAAGCTTTGTGACTTTATTGTAACTTTTAACAGCGTTTCTGGCAGAAACAAGCCGCGTTTGTCTAGTCGTCGCCCCAGTCGCAATGCACGTCGTTCCATGTGCCATCGCTGATCATCTAAAACGCGTTCGATCAAAAAAAATCCAGCACTTAAACCACCATAGCACACTTTCCTAAAAAGCTTAGCAAAGTGGTTTACGTCCAAATGCTGGTCGTGGTGGTCGGATGAGTCCATTTGCGTGCATATTTTCGAAACTCATATTTTCGAAACTCACATTTTCGAAAACTAATATTTACAGCATTGCATAGGCTTAGGTAGCCTAAGAAAACCTAAAAAAAATATGGGTTTCGAGAATATAAGTTTCGAAAATATGAGTTTTCGAAAATATCGGAAATCTGAGTGCCTACCGATGAGTCAGACCGATAAACGCCAACTTGGCACACCCCTTCTCCGGAGCATGTTGACTTGAAAACATTCAAGTACAAAATTTAGCAATCATAAAAATATGGAATCACGCAAAGGACCCTTATTAACGAAAACGCTAACTTTTGATGTTCGTATTCTACGAGGCAGTGCGGATGTTTGGCAATTGTAGGGACAAGTTTTTACATACCTTTTCACATTCCTGCAAAAGGTTTAAATGCCCCATCGAGAGAGAGAGAGAGAGAGAGAGAGAGAGCGGGTGAGAGATTGAGTTGGCACGTCAGCCCGAAGACCGGGAAGAAGAAATCGGGCAACAGCAGATGTAAGTAGAGCTCGAAAAGCCCAGAGCACATCTGGGTTTTATTCCTCTTTTTGTAAGATGCGAACAGTTCGGATACCTGGTGGAAGAATAGAAATTTTGAATATTGCTGCATATGGCGTGGCGACACAAACCAAATCAGCGCCGCCGTGCCGAACGTGATCGGCAGCCCGATGATTGCCATCGCCCCGAAGATCAGTTTATAGTTTGTGGCGTCCACGGATATCGCCATTTCAGTAAAATTTATGTTTAGAAAGGCATGGACAGACTGCGATTCATGGCGAGAGCCAAGGCGCCGGGGGTGTAAACAGGCCGGCGCGGACGCAGGCGACTTTTGGGGGCGACGCCTAATTGCAGAATGAGACGCGGGAAACCTAATTGATATTTTGGTTTGAGGTTATTGTCATTTTTTGGGCTGGCATTAGGTTGTACCAGGAGACGACGACGTTGGTAAGCCTGATGCAATTGTCGTTTGTCTGTTTCGGCTGCCGTGCATAAGACAAAGCAACGATTTTTTTGAATTCGCAACATGCACGTCTCGATATCACAATAGTATTCCCCTCCGTCGACAGTGTCCATGGCATAGGTGATATCCGTGTAGCTTGGGATCTTCTGAATAGTGGTGATGAAAGCGGGTGAGATCGCCGCTCCCCCCAACGGGGAAGGGATCTCGTATTTTCATAATATCGCATTGTTACAATTTTGCTATTTCATAATTTCCTTGGCCTAGCTGCATTTCCGGAGCTACCCTGTATGCCAGAAAAGCCAGGGACAATATCAGGTTGTAAAAATCGCTTAGATCGGCGCTTATAGCCTTAATTTTAACCCGGAAAAAATTCCTTAAGGTAAATAAGGCCTATTGAAGCATTTTCGCTTAATCTTTAAGGGGTTCAATTCCACGGAAACCCTATGAAAAATAGAAAGTAAAGTTTATTTTTTGATTATAACTCCAGAACTACTATAGCTACGGGGCTATAAGTCAAGATGGTGGTTATTTATGGTCTGATACACCTCTGGTCCAACCTTGGGACCGATTGGATGTAACACGGCGAAATGCCAGACGATTCGTTTTCTTGGGACCCACTGTATTTTAATTTTTAATAGCAGTTTGAAGCAAACAAGACCCCCTATTGCTAATTGAAAAAGCCATGCTGTGTGCTGCGGCTTGGTATTAATCAACGAAATCAATGATTTATTACTTCAGAAAATACATGTCTCGATATCACAGACATAGTATTCACCCTCCTTTACCGTATTCATAGCATGCGTGATTTCACTGTATCCTGGGATTTGCTAAAAGTTGGATAACCCTGGTACATAGAGAAATATTTTACCATGCAAGCCATCATCGAAGCGTTAATCCGTCCATCAGCGTCACAAGGGAAATTGATCGTCATTTTGTCAGGGACATCTTTTCGCCAAGGCTCGTGAGGGAATGTAATTAAGTCTTGCTCTTCATACTGTAAAGATAGAAATTGCCAAATGTTGTAAAAGAGGATTATTGGAGCCTAAGAATTATATCTATTACTGCAAAAATATCTTTTGATTTAATTTTATATAGAAAGTTATTGAAATGCTACAAAAAGTCAGTATAGTAAGGTAAGAAAAAAGCCTTATAGGGCACTTTCAGGGACGTTTTTTTGGAAAAAAGCAAAGGTTTTCGCCGCGGCCGTGGATCGAACCCGGGCCCCCGCTCGGGAGGCGCGGATGGATACCCGTCAGCCACAGCTACAACCTCGCGAGGGGCGAGGGGCGCCCCACGCCGCAAAGGAGGGGAATGGCCTGTCACAGCACAGGCAGGCCGTGCGCGCGGTCCCTACGTCCATAGGGTGTACACGTTGGGACGAGTACACGGCCACTCCCTGAACGTGCGCTTTAAACGAAGAAAATCAGTAGCTGAAAGGGTAAAAGATAGATATATTTATCCGGTTAGAGTTCAGTTTACTCCCCAGCCGGCACCCAATTTTTGTATCTCGGCTCCCTGTTCATCTCTAGGTGTGTAAAGTATACCGAAATGTTTGTCTTGTTCTGGCGAGTATTTTGGTATATTTTACGCACCTGTAGATGAACAGGCGCCGAGTTACGGTAAGTGGGAGTCGGCTGTGGGGCAAATGCACTTAAACCATTTATTCAAAACTACCGTGCAGTTACTAGGCGGTAGATGGAACCTCCGATAATTTCTTTTGCCATCTATCCACGAAGCCAGCAGCACTTTCAGGGTCCTATGTCTCCCTTCATGTAGTGTCAAGGTGTAGCAGTGAAAGACTGAACCCTGAATCGAAATTTTCTCGAGCCGGTTTGAGTATTCTGACCACGTCCAGCACTGGTATATTCTCTTTTGTGATATTCAACCGGTACATGGCCAGGCCCTCATGATGGCCACAGTTTCGTATTAGCACGATTGAATTTGAAAAACCAGTAGGGATCACCGAATTCAAAAGAGAGGGATAAGGGTCTTCCACATAACGGGAAATGTTTTGTACTGTCGTGATCTCGGGCAGCCGTATTGTTTAGTTGCGGCGAACAGTTTTTGCCTATGGGCGTGTTTTTCGAGCGAGGAGGGCCCGACGAGACTGTCGGGGCCCGAATTCAGAGCTGCCCCTCAGATTTTATTTTTAGCTCAAGTGCTAAAATCAGCGAAGAGAATTAATCGTGAAAACAATCAAGATATTCAAAAGCTCAGCGGAATATGCTGGTTAAACCTGCTGATCACGTGTTTTTTGCGCCCAGCTCTCTTGCTTCTCTGTTGTGAGAACGAGCCAAAGAATTCGCTTGAAGA